AAGCAGATACATACAATAAAAGTGCTAAGTCCATTCTGTGTAGCTGCTGCCATATGGCAAATCTGGGCTTGTCACCATGATCTAAGAGAATCACTCCAAATCCTAAACTGAGAAGTCACCTAATTTGCCCATCTGTCTCAGGTTGTTTATTGGTTTAAGGTGAAGTAAGTTGTTTATTGGAATTGTTCTGTATTGATAAGACTGGCTGTCATTTCAATATTGTATAGACATATATATATATATATATATATATATAATATTTATATATATATATATATATATATATAATATTATGTGCAAAACACTATGTTAAAAACATTAAGATTGCCAAGTCACACACTCAAAAGTTAGGAAATGACAGAAATAAGGGTCCCTGTGCAATCTTAATGTAACCTTTTTGTGCATGTAGTTCATGATACAGTCTTTAATTATATGATCACATACTATTTTTTCCACAGGACCTGTGTCTCATTCAGGGCACAGGATGGATCTTTTAACGAAGTTTTGTGTGGGTAATTTCCTAAATTAAAAAAAAAAATGAAAAAACAGAAATTCCACCATTTGACATCATCAGGGTTAGAACCCTTAGATCACTGCACAGACCTCTGCCACTTGAGGTAACTGAGATATTTGGTGACAGCAGAGGAATGATGAGACTCTCCGGCTCTGGAGGGGAGTGTATTCTAGGGGGCATTCCGCAGAAGGGTGACCCATTCTGTCCCCTACAAACTGTCCCTGTCCTGTCTCTTCCCCACCCAGCTCTTTGTCCCAGTCCCATTCTCTTCACTTAGCCAGGCCCAGTACTCAATCTTCTCATCCCAGTCCCTTTGCCCAATAAATCCGAGTATCACAGTCCAGACTCCCCGACTTGCATTCCTCCCCCAGCTCCTTGTACTCAGTCTCCCTCCCAGCTCCATATCTGATCTGCCTCCTCGCTCACTCTAATCTCCAGTTGCCCCTCCCACATATTTCCGATTTCCACTGGCTCCCAATCCCAATCTATCTCCCTGATCTCCTCATCAAATTTCACTTCCACCCTCTGGCTCCTTGTCCCAGTCTCTGCCCAGTCAGTCCCAGTTCTCCCCCAAAAGTCCAACAGCTTGTCATGTGTCTTTCCTACCCCCTCACCTCCTTCCACAGCCATTCTTAGTCTCCCCTATCCCCAGCTCCCAGTCCCTCTCCTACCCCAATTCCCAGTTTCCCTGCCTTCAGTCCCAGTCTCCCCCATCCAGGCTCCTATTTTCAATCTACTCTACCTGTAGGTCTGGCTCTTGTCCCCACTGTATTTGAACCAGGCAGCTTTCCTCCATGCTGGCTGGTCCCAGCAGTGGGGTCTTTGAGAGAAAAGGAGAGACAATCTTCCCGGCTCTCAGTTCAGGTACATGGTCCTGCCCTGGCCCAGAGCTGCATTTGCAGGGAAAGTCCTGCTTAGACCAGGTTGGAGCATGCCCAGTGTGTCCAGAATTTTTTGGGAATTTAGCTGCTAAAATCTAAGGTCTCTACTGGGCCTCTGTAAGATGTATAACTCGACCAAACTTGGACAGATTTTCACTGGAATTGTAAAAGGCGCTTCCCTGACACAAAGACCACCCTCTGGCCAAATTTCAAATCCTTACTCAAAGCATGGGAAGACTACGGCTTTTCAAATAAAATGTAGCAAGACCTTTTTAACATGGGTAAAAACTTATTTTCCCTAGCTTTGGTCTTGGAAACAGATGACCTGTTTTGACTGAACTTAAAAAAAAAAAAATCAACCTGAGGCACACATCTAATCGGGAAAATTTCAGTCAAAATGTTTAAAGTTTTGCAGTTATAAGGTTTTATAATGCGAAATGTCAGGCAACCTTAATTATATGCGGTGCTACTAAGCCCCACCTATGAAAAACACATGCAAACACACACATATATTTCCATACAGACATATACAGATATTATATAACCCAGAACTTCTGTAGGTGAAAATCTGTTGGTTCCACTGAAATTAAGGGACCTATGCCAATTCGCACCAGCAAAAGACCTAGCTCCATACAGCTGCTATGTATGATTGTTATAAGATACATATGTGGCTTATAATTTTCATTTTTAACTCATAAAACTTATACATATCTCCCCTTAAGACATTTCTCATGGTTTTTTTTAAGTAATCACTCAATTTAAATTTTTGTTTTTCCTCTCTGTTGTTGGATTCTGCCTCTGAATTTGTCTCTGAGAAGTTAATTCACCTGGGTGGCAGCAGTTGCTTACCATAGTTTGACAGTGTATAATTTTTCCTATGTTAATTCATAGATTGTTAAGGCTAAAAGGATCCATTATGATTATCTAGTCTGACTTCCTGCATAATACAACCCACAGAATTCCACCCAATGGTCAAGCTAGAGCCGATCTTTCAGAAAGACATCCAATCTCCCTCAATTGAAAATTATAGCTGGGAGGAAAAATTTGTACTGCAGTGTCAAAGCATGTTTGGGAATAAATGTAAAAGCTTTGCTTTCTCTAATTAAAATTGAAAAATACAGCGTGAATATGGGTTATAATTTCACAAAAGAAGTGCTAAATTTCAGAAAAAGTACACACTAATCCCATATCTTGTTTCTACTCCAGCCTCTGTGTGTCACTGGATTCTAGCTATAAGTGGCCAGCAGAGAATTCCCCTGGCATAGGATAACTCTCCACGGGCATAAAGCTGGCCCCTGCATCAGCCATTCCTCTCATCCCCATGTACAGGGTGTGTTAGGTGAGGGAGGGGGCATGCAGAGCTCTGTGCCAATCCTGCACTAGCATAAAGTCCCACAGGACTGCATAGTTTGTAGGCTGCTCCATCTTACATCACAGCTCAGACAGGCTCTCAAGCAACCCCAGGATACAGGGAGCTCAAGCCATTTTTGCTGACCCCTCTGCCCTGTTCCTGTACTCAATGTAAGGGTTGCGGAACACAGAACTTAGAATACTAACAATGATCCTCCAGAGCACACTTATGATGGGAACACAGGAATTATCACACAGGATCAAACCAGTGGTCTATCTGGTTCAACATCCATTCCCCAACACAGTGGCCATTGTCCTAATGCTTCAGAGGTAGTGCAAAAAACCCTGCCACAATGGACAGTTATGCAATAATATGTCCAAAGGGGAAGTTATTCCTAGCCACAGCCAGGCAGAGGTTGGTTTATGGCAAAGATTACTTGAGTACGTTGTGGGGTACAGTTGTTGTGAAAAAAATAACCTTTCCTTTGCTTTTAATTTATAGTACTTTCTCAAATATTATCAGTGAAACACACAGTGTGCAATTCAGTTTTTAAACTAAAAAATATTTATGAAGTGGCACCAAGCTGCTTGCAAAGATCAGAGATTTTTTTTAAAATATGGTAGCTTGCATTTTAAAACATTATTTCACAACAGTTAACATTCAAAACTGAAAGCCAGTGTGCAGCATACAACAACACTGAGTGGTCTCAGAAGTTAAAAATCCAGCACCTTACGACAAACCTATAACAGGCAGAGAAAAAGTGAAGTTATAACACTTCAGTACCATAAATACAATGGAGATCCATCAACAGAAGTGAACTGCAAGTAGGAAACCTCTTGCATGAAGAACTGGAATGCCTTCCTCTTGTATAGCACTTTTCATCAGCAGATCTCAAAGTGCTTTACAGGGGAGGTCAGTATCTATCCCCATTTGACAGATGGGGAAACCGACACACAGACTTGCTCAAGATCACCCTGAAGGCCAGTGGCGGAGCCAGGAATAGAACCCATGTCTATGGAGTCCCAATCCAGTGCCTTATCCATTAAAAGCAGAACTGAGTGGCAGACTCTAAAGAAGGGCTCTTCTGTTGAGTCACCTTAGGCTCAAGTGCTAAAATCCTTCATTACGATTCAGGGTAATTACAGCTTAGTCATGGTGATGGTTGGGCCCACTTAGCTCCAACCAGAACATTAAGGGGGTGGGAGTCTTCTTTAAGGCCCACAGAAAACAAGGACAGCGAGAAACTCTAGAAAGAGTTTACCTCTGGCATCAACCCAAGATTTCTGCCTATGTTATATTCATTTTATTGTTTCTGAGTTACCAATAAACCCAAATCCCAGGAAGGGGGTGAATCTGGACACCACCTTGGGGTCGGTGTACTGTGCTGGGGGTGGGATAAAGACTCAATCTGTTCACAGATTATAATGAAATTGGATTATCTCAATCAGAGGGCAGGGTCACAGTTTTCTTAGTTCTTTCAGTAAAATAAAACATTTAATCCAATCAGAAGCTATCATAGATGGGGCTATCCAGTTTTTGTTATTTTGCCATGGCAAAGCTTTTCCTAATTTATCAGTCTGTGGTGTATGCTACATTTTAAAAATAATGTGCAGGTTTTACAGATGTGGTCACGTAAGAGCAGCCTACAATATTGGGATTAAATTCCTATTTGTTAGGCATTCCAAAAAATTTAAGAGCAGACTGGACCATTTTGATCATCTAGTCTGACCACCTGCATAACACAAGCCATAGGATTTGACCCAGTGATGCCCACATATTCCAATAACTTGTACATGGACTAGACCTATCTTTTAGAAAGGCATACAGTCTTAATTTAAAGATTCCCAAGTGATGGAGAATCTACCACATTGCTGCACAGCCAATATGGTATTTTTAAAATGAAGTTCAGTACAATAGCAAAGTAAAATCACTTTGATTCTACCTTAAACCCTCAGATTTAGAAAGAACTCCCCCAGTGCTGTGTACATGGAGCAGTGTGGTTTCAAAATAGACCAGAAAACCCTAACAATCAAACTGAATAAGAAAATATAGATTTAATCTTATTTTTAAGACAATTTTGAAATCCCAATTAATATACTTTAAAATCAGGTCAGTATGTTTCTGAGTTTAGTTGGGAACTAAATGTAGACATTACACAAATTGTCAAAATAAGCATTTTATTTGAAAGTTCAAGGCCACTTCCTAGTTTCAATCACTTTCCATCAAATGCAAGTATTGAAATTTAAGTTCTTACCGTCCTCCAAAGACATCAAAGAGATGCTGCCACCGATTGTTAATTTTATTGAGTTTGTCATCTATTTCTGTGACTCTGCTCTTGTTGCTAGTCTTGATCAGCTGATCACCCATTTGCTTCAAATGAAGTTTATTTTCACCAAACAGGTTTATTTCTTCCATACAGTCCTGAAAAAACGCATCCAAAAATTACTCACAGCAAATAATGAAAATCAATTTCTTGTTGAAATAATGTTTCTGGGTTTCTTTGTTGTGTCGGTGGGAATGAGCTTGAAGTGGGATGACCAAGAGTGCTACAGAAACACAGGGGAGTAGATCTTCAGCTTGTGTAAATTGGCAGAGCTCCGCTGCGGAAAATGGAACTACATCAGTTTACACTAGCCCAGGATCCAACCTATTATCTTTTTATCATACAACCAGAAAATAAATGAAATAGAGAAGGGTAGGGAAAACAAGCCACAAAGGACTACATTAGATCTGGTGTTTTAATACATTAAAGTACTACATTGAAAACTTATTCTTAATGGAATAAAGTACCCGTAATTAAGACACTATAAAAAATAAGTGGCTTAAAGACCTGAAAGCTTTCAGGTACATAACCCTAAGAATAGCAATTTAAATTTCTAATATTTTCTTGGTTTTTTCTCTCTTTTAACTTAAATTTTTAACAAGTTACCTTGAAAAAACCTGAATTCAAGTTCAAGGGCTCTTTCTTTGCTGGTATTCTTATACTTGGGAGATCTGGGATTAGATACTGAGCCCCTTAAGCCATTAGGAAAGGATACCGGCAGCGGACTACTGTCCTGTGTCTATAAGATAGTGCTTTTTATATATTATTACTTAATCAAGTCCAGTACCACAGAAGGAAACCAGATGTGTTTCCCGACTTGATCTGTGGGTTTTGAGGCATTGTTTGGTTGTGGTGACCTCCTATGTACTTAGTACCAAAACTATTGCACACCTCCGTATTCTGGGATCATCTCTCATTTACCTTCCAACTGCCCCTTTCACAACAGCTGGCACTGGTGAGAAGTGGGGGAGCAATGAAGCACTACCAGGGCTCCATAGATCACCTACAAAGGATACTCTAAGAGAGGAGTCTCTAGCTTCACACCCTAAAAATATCAAGCACAGGACCGGTATGTTGCGTCCTCCCGCAGTGTAAGAAGCAGGAGTTCCAAGTGCAAATGCAGTATGCTGCTGCAGCGCGATCAGGGGGATGTTCTGTTTTGGTTTTGACTTGGAGATTGATCAGCAGTAGGGATCAAGACAAAGGACTTGGTATCAATGGAAGTTAGGCACTAAACACCTTTGTCAATTGGGGCCTAAATGTTTAAACTTCTTGGCTTTAGCCTGTAAATGCTGTTCGACATTCCTATTTTAGTGCAGGTTTGTCTACAACTAATTCTTAGAGTGCATAAAAAGCTGCTTTCCTGTTTACCTTTTGTAATTTGTCTATCACATCTTCAATGCTAACATCTGCAGTCTGTAACACTTTGCTTTCCATCTCTACCAGCCATGTACATAGCTCCTTATTCTTTTCATCGAACACAGTCCACGCATTGAGTCTGTCCTCTATCTCCTGCTTACGCAGAGACACCTATGGATAAGAATACACGACAGCTGTCAACATCTCCCTCAGCAGGAAGCCAACAATTACAAATATAATCAAAAGCATGCATGACTAAGATATATATTCATGTTTCTTTTTAACAATAGATTATTGCAGCAGACTTCATTATAAATGCAAAATTCTAAATTAATTAGCTGCTCCAATTTACAGGAGCATTTATTAGAATTCTCCAGTTTTCCTTTTAAAGATGGTAACCAGAATGTTATAACATGAAGTTGGAACACCAGGAGTAAACATTGTCTAGCAAACACCAGTTTCTCTCCATTAGAAAAGCTACTAAACTAGATGATGGCTTTATAAATGATGACATTTGTAACAATTCATAAGCCATACAGTGGAAATCTGGCAATGCCAAACAAACAAGGAAAACAAAATATTCATTTCTACATACAAACATATATAAAATAGCTATATCTCACAGACCCACATGTACATATACAAAACACGTGTTCCGATACATCTCTGTAATAAGTTCCCGTATTTCTGCAATTACGATAAATTATGCAAATACAGATCCCATTTATTGTCCACCTTTGATCATCTCATTGGCATTCTTCTAGGGTGACCAGATAGCAAGTGTGAAAAATCGGGATGGGGGTGGGGGATAATAGGAGCCCATATAAAAAAAAGCCCCAAATATCGGGACTGTCCCTATAAAATCGGGACATCTGGTCACCCTACATTCTTCCCATTTACCTCTTCTATTACTAGTGCCTGGATTCTACGCCCGATATAACTTTATACACTGGTTGAAATTTCAGAGTAGCAATGAGGGAAAAGAAACATAAAAAGATCGTTCATATCACATGTGACACATTAGATAACCTCACACTATTCTGCTTTTGCCTTTTCAGTTCTGAGAACTTTGATTCCATATGTTCCTCATGCACAACAAATTACAGGGTAGGGAAATGTATTCCTAAATCTGCACTGCCTCTTCATTCACATTACATGGACTACACAGAAAGGGGGGGCTAGAAGTGTTATGGAAGGGACATAGGGGAATGGCCTCCAAAATGCATAAGAACATAAGAATGACCCTACTGGGTCAGACCAAAGGTCCATCTAGCCCAGTATCCTGTCTTCCGACAGTGGCCAGTGCCAGGTGCCCCAGACGGAATGAACAGAACAGGTAATCATCAAGTGATCCCTCCCCTGTCGCTCATTCCCAGCTTCAGGCAAATAGAGGCTAGGGACACCATTCCTGCCTATCCTGGCTAATAGACACTGATGGACCTATCCTCCATGAATTTATCTAGTTCTTTTTTGAACCCGATTATGGTCTTGGCCTTCACAACAACTCCTTCCTCTGGCAAGGAGTTCCACAGTTTGACTGTGCGTTTTGTGAAGAAATACGTCCTTTTATCTGTTTTAAACCTGCTGCCTATTAATTTCATTTGGTGACCCCTAGTTCTTGTGTTATTAGAAGTAGTAAACAACATTTCCTTGTCTACTTTCTCTATACCAGTCATGATTTTATAGACCTCAATCATATCTCCATTAGCTGTCTCTTTTCCAAGCTAAAAAGTCCCAGTCTTATTAATCTCTCCTCATAGGGAAGCCGTTCCATACCCCTAATAATTTTTGTTGCCCTTTTCTGAACCTTTTCCAATTCCAATATATCTTTTTTGAGATGGGAGGACCACATCTACACACAGTATTCAAGATGTGGGTGTACCATGGATTTATATAGAGGCAACATGATATTTTCTGTCCTATTACCTATCCCTTTCTTAATTATTCCCAGCATTCTGTTTGCTTTTTTGACTGCCACTGCACATTGAGTGGATGTTTTCAGAGAACTATCCACAATGACTCCAAGATCTCTTTCTTGAGCGGTAACAGCTAATTTAGACTCACATTAACTCACATTAACAGTATGCCAACATTTTTATGGCTGACTTAGAACAACACTTCCTCAGCTCTCATCCCCTAACGCCCCTACTCTACTTGTGCTACATTGATGACATCTTCATCATCTGGATCCATGGAAAAGAAGCCCTTGAGGAATTCCACCATGATTTCAACAATTTCCATCCCACCATCAACCTCATACTGGACCAGTCCACACAAGAGATCCACTTCCTGGACACTACAGTGCTAATAAGCAATGGTCACATAAACACCACCATATACTGGAAACCTACTGACCGCTATACTTACCTACATGCCTCCAGCTTTCATCCAGACCACACCACGCGATCCATTGTCTACAACCAAGCTCTACAATACAACCACATTTGCTCCAACCCCTCAGACAAAGACAAACACCTACAAGATCTTTATCAAGAGTTCTTACAACGACAACACCCACCTGCTGAAGTGAAGAAACAGATTGACAGAGCCAGAAGAGTACCCAGAAGTCACCTACTACAGGACAGGCCCAACAAAGAAAATAACAGAATGCCACTAGCTGTCACATTCAGCCCCCAACTAAAACCTCTCCAATGCATCACCAAGGATCTACAACCTATCCTGAAGGACGACCCATCACTCTCACAGATTTTGGGAGACAGGCCAGTCCTTGCTTACAGACAGTCCCCCAACCTGAAGCAAATACTCACCAGCAACCACAAACCACACAACAAAAACACTAACCCAGGAACCTATCCTTGCAACAATGCCCATTGCCAACTCTGTCCACATATCTATTCAGGGGATACCTCAGAGGACCTAATCACAACAGCCACGCTATCAGAGGCTCGTTCACCTGCACATCTACCAATGTGATATATGCCATCATGTGCCAGCAATGTCCCTCTGCCATGTACACTGGCCAAACCAGACAGTCTCTATGTAAAAGAATAAATGGACACAAATCAGACGTCAAGAATTATAACATTCAAAAACCAGTCGGAGAACACTTAAATCTCTCTGGTCACTCGACTACAGACCTAAAAGTTGCAATATTACAACAAAAAAAACTTCAAAAACAGACGCCAACGAGAGACTGCTGAATTGGAATTAATTTGCAAACTGGAAACCATTAAATTAGGCTTGAATAAAGACTGGGAATGGATGGGTCATTACACAAAGTAAAACTATTTCCCCTGCTTATTTCTGCCCCCCCTAACTGTTACTCTCACCTTCTGGTCAACTGTTGGAAATGGGTCATCCTGATTATCACTGCAAAAGATTTTTTTCTCCTGCTGATAATAGCTCACCTTAATTGATCACTCTCATGATAGTGGGTATGGCAACACCCATTTTTTCATGTTCTCTCTGTGTGTGTATATATATATATATCTTCCTATTGTATTTTCCACTGCATGCATCCGATGAAGTGGGTTTTAGCCCACAAAAGCTTATGCTCAAATATATTTGTTAGTCTCTAAGGTGCCACAAGTACTCCTGTTCTTTTCACATTAAGAAGAAATCTACCAAAGAATCCAGAGACCCTGAGGATTTCTGCCACAATCTGAGAGCTCTTCTGTGTCCATGATATGCCTGCTCACACTTCATCAACAACACCAGCAGAATAGGGATCATATGATGGCACCAGCTAGCTCTGCCACCTGCACTGTCTCCCCTCTGATGAGGTAAGATAACTCAATCCATGGGGGCAAGGAGGGGACAGCAATGCTGACTCAAGCAGCATTAACTCCTGTAAGTGTTTCTGATTTCAATTCTGCTTGTTTAAAAGGGGCACATTTTGCATAGAATGGCTGTTCCCTGTTCTAGCCCCCCATCAATCACAGAGCTCTTCCCACTAGAACTTCAGGCAGGATCTCTCCTGTGGAGTTTGCAGTGAAGGGGGGCCATTTATGAACTAAAAAGAAAAGGAGTACTTGTGGCACCTTAGAGACTAACCAATTTATTTGAGCATGAGCTTTTTTCCACTGCATGCATCCGATGAAGTGGGTTTTAGCCCACAAAAGCTCATGCTCAAATAAATTGGTTAGTCTCTAAGGTGCCACAAGTACTCCTTTTCTTTTTGCGAATACAGACTAACACGGCTGTTCCTCTGAAACCTGTCATTATGAACTAGCCGCCTTTCCCTTCAGTGCTTCCATTCTTTTCCCTTTCTGTGGTTTTACCCTCATCTTTGCTCTGAGGTGGAACATGCACTATAGATCTAGGTATCATACGTGTGTGTTGTAATAGACCAGGATCCTTACTGAATGAATTGATAAATCCTTGACCTACATATACCTTGCAATGGCTGCGATGCAAACACTAATCCCCTTCCATGCATCTGCTCATTAACTGTTTGTTTATTTACTTCCCTACCCTTTCCAGCATGAGCATCTGCCTGCCTCACTCTGCAATGTTCATGACAGCTGCAGGGTTTGACTTTTAAAGTCTTTCAGACCTCTCCATTTAAATTTCAATTGTTTTCAAACAATACATATCTTTCACTCTCCTGCTTCGACTCATCTCTCAAAACACATACAAAATGGAGTATCCTATTAGTATGTTTGAAATTGAATTACAATGGCCAGAAGTTTACAGTTTGGATTAATCTGTAGCTAGGCACATTGGCTTGATTTTCATTTTCAGAGCCACTGGGCACTCACTATCTGAGCTAATGGTGCTCAGCATTAGTGCATAATCATGATTCTTATTTAGGTGTCTAAATATGAATATACAGAAGGTGCCCAATTCAGGCATCCAACTTCGAAAATATTGTGCCTACATGTTTTCAAGTCTGGCATACTCAGTGTCCAGAATCTGCAGTAGTAAGTAAAATAATGAACATATATCACTGGATTAGCCATCCAGGCCTTGTCTACACTACATTATTAATTTGACCTATGTCACAGCAATGTACAGCCACCACAGTAATTACTGTGGTTTTTCATGTCCACACTACCTTCCTTCTGCCGTTGGTGTGTGTCCTTACCAGAAGTGCTTGCACAAATTTAGGGCATGGCTACACTTGCAGTTGTAGAGCGCTGGGAGTTAAACCAGCCTTCGGAGACTGCAGCAGGGAAAACGCTGCCGAGTGTTTACACTCTCAGCTGGAAGTGCACTGGCATGGCCACATTAGCAGCTCTTGCAACGCCAAAAAGAGCAGTGCATTGTGATAGCTATCTCAGCATGCAAGTGGCTGCAACGTGCTTTTCAAATGCAGGGGGTGAGGTGGAGTGTGACAGGGAGTGTGTTGTGTGTATGTGGAGGGAGAGAGAGAATGGGCTTTTGGGGGGCTAACAGCATGTCAGCATGCTGTCTTGTAAGTTCAGACAGCAGCAAACCTCCCTCTGCCTCCCCCGCCCCGCCGCCTCTCTCTCACTCACTCAAAGCAAGCAAGCATTCCTCAGTAATGGTTCCTTTGTCCCAGAGCAGATAAGCAGCCAGCTGTCAGAACCGGAGCTTTGAAAGGGCATATCCAAGTTCAAAACAATGACAAGAGTGGCCACTTGACTTAAGGGGATTATAGGACGTTGCCGGAGGTCAATCAGAGCGCAGTAATGCAACACCTCGTTCACACTGATGCTGCGGCACTCCAGCGGGGGCGCAGCAAACATTATTCCACTCACCGAGGTGGAGTACCAGCAGCACTGTAGCTGCAGAGTCAGAGTGCTCTACGTGCCTTGCCAGTGTGGACGGGTAGTGAGCTAGTGCACCCGGAGCTCCTTTATTGTGCTGTAACTCACAAGTGTAGCCAAGCCCTTAAGTGAGGCAGTGTGGGGCGCTGATTGCCCGGGCTGTTGGCTCTGCATAGCACCTCACAGGTGTGAGCTCCATGCAGAGCTGACAGGCGATGTAAGTAAAGCAGTGTCTACAGAGACACTGTGGCGCCCTAACTACATCGACCTAAACACTACACCTCTTGTGGAGGTGGAGTTATTAAGCTCGGTATACTGGAGGACTTACACTGGTAGGAACAATGCTGTAGTGTAGACACTTACAGAATTAGGTCGACAATGTCTCAAAACACATATAAAATGGAGTATTCTATGTACGATGTCAACCTAACTCTGTAGTGTAGACCTGGCTTCAGTTTCAGGCAAAATATTTCTAACTAACTAACAAAAGTCTCTAAGGTGCCACAAGTACTCCTTTTCTTTTTGTGGATACAGACTAACACAACTGCTACTCTGATCCCCACATCCAAGTTATTATGAAGGGCCTGACCGTGCAATCCTTATTCCACCCAAACTCCCATTGCACTCAAACTCCCTTTGCCTGGGTAAGGTTTGGGCCCTATATACTAAGAGAACTTTGTTTCTACAGTTTTTTTTGTAATCTACAAAAAAATAGCCATGTAATTTTATGACTATAAAGGGTTCCATTTGTTGCTAGCTTAGAACTATCTGCTAAGCTATCTTCTTAAATCAAGAATCTTAAAATCTAGCATTTTGTTTCTTTATCCATTGTGTAAAATATATACATAAAATACCCAGCAATATATACCAATCTATAAATTCAGTGAGCCAAATTCATCCCTGGTGTAACTCCACTGATTTCTGTGAATGAATTTGGTCCAGTAAATTTAAATGCAGTGCTAACTAAATGTAATACAACAGTAGGCCACAAAAGATGGTAAATGTTGAACAGTAAACTGTTCAAAGTTTTGGAAATATATTATATTAAAGAAATGGCAAGTCCGTTTTTAATATGTTTCGGTCCTTTTTACTAAACATACCTAAAAGCTAATTTATTTCTCAATTTCATTTATTAGCTTTTTTGGAGATGTATTTTACATCAGCCTATGCAACGTGCCATCACTTGTGAATTCAAAAGATAAAGTAGGTAGCAGGAACAGCATAACAATTCCCCCCACTTTTTCCCTCCTTCACCTCAGGCGATTCCTCTGTTTAGCCTTAGCACGCTTAGTTTGTGAGTTAGAACAAAGCCATCCATTTCACCCAACAGTTGCATTTTTTTCACACACTCAATTGCTAAGAGTTTGCAAAACTGGAGCACTGTGTGTTATGGAAACAAAGAGAGCAGAGCCCAGACTAACTTTATTCCACTATTGTTCAGCCATGCCTGCAAAGAATGCCCCAAAAGAGACTCTACAACTAAAGTTACCCTGCACGTTAACGAAAGCATGTTTCTTTCTGCTGTTTATGCCCGGCAAGACATTTCACCCTAAACGCATCAACAAAGAACAAGGACACGAACAGTATATTCAACAGCTAAGTGACTTACTCGTAAGCAGAGTTCTTCCCATTGTCTGTGCAAATGCTCTACTTGCTCCTTCAGCAGCATCACATCTTCTGCAAGGATATAATGAGCCAAGTCTGCCTTCATATTATCAAGTTCTTTCACGTTTTGATTCCAGTCTGCAAGTGACTTCTCCAGTTCCTGCATTTAAACACAAGGAAAACAATCCTTTAGACTAAGCTCCTGTGTTTTTTTCAAAACCTGTTGGTTAATCCTCTGATTGGCCTGTGGGGGAGGGGAAAACAGAAAAAAGAGGAGGGGAAATTTACACACAGGCAGCCAAAAGGGTAACACGGTGAAGCCTTTGCTAGGATGCTTTTAGGTCAGCCTCTCTTTCCTTTTCCTTCTGTCTCTGCATCCTGTTTGGGGGAGGGTGGGAAGAGAAATGGTTAGTTGAAAAGATTAATTTCTCTTTAGCTTTATTAGAGGGTTCCCTCCAGTGTTAGTTATTCTGAGCCTGATCCAAAGCCCATTAAAGTCAATGGCATAGCTCTTGTTGCAGAAATAAGCCTCCTGGTTACTCTATAAAATACTAAAATATTCTCTAATAGATATCCAACACCCAACATCTTCTGATACACTGCTGCAGTGTTTGGTAGAGTTGCCAACTTTCTAATCGCACAAACCCAAACACCCTCGCTCACTTTCACTGGGCTGAGGCAGGGGCTTGGGTGCAAGAGCAGGTGAGGGCTCTGGCTCTGGGGTTGGGTGCTGGAGGAGATGTGGGCTCGGGGTGGGGCCGGCAATGAGGGATTTGGGGTGCAGGAGGGGGATCAGGACTGGGAGTTGGGGTCCGGGAGGGGGTTTTGGGTGTGGGCTCTGGCTGGGTGGCGCTGTCCTCAGGTGGCTCCTGGTCAGTGGCACAGTGGGGCTAAGGCAGGGTCTCTGCCTGCCCTGGCTCTGCGCGGATCCCAGAAGTGGCGGCATGTCTGGCTCCTAGGCGCAGGGGGTTCTGTGTGCTGCCCACAGGTGCCGCCTCCGTAGCTCCCACTGGCGGTTCCCGGCCAATGGGAGCTGTGGAGCCGGCGCCCAGGGCAAGGCCAGTGCGCTGAGCCTCCCTGGCAAGCTGCCCCTGTGCCTAGGAGCTGGACATGCTGGCCGCTTCTGGGAGCCATGCAGAGCCAGGGCAGGCAGGGAGCCTGCCTTAGCTTCGCTGTGCTGCCGACCGGACTTTTAAAAAAATATTAAAATAAAAAAAACAACCAAACAAACCAACAACCACCCCCAGACCCATTTCTTTAGTTACAAGGAGATAGTCTTCCTGATGGCTTTAAAAAAGTGTTTTGTGTTAACATTGTCACTGAAGGAGAGGAGTAATTGCACAACAAACTGCAGTAGGGAAATATCTGTGTTCTACACATGAAGGAAAGTTCACATTTTACAATAAAGAAAACTTGTCAAAAAACCTTCCTGGTTCTGCTAACAAAGAAAAATGCTCTGCCTTGAGGAGACCGTAAACTGGACCAAAAAAAAAAAATGCACAAGGGGAGCAGACAGCTTCTCCTTCCTTCATAGTGCCTCTGCATAGGCTAGGGGAGGCTGTCTCTCCCCGAACAGCCCAGCATGGCCCTGCCCACGCTCCACCCCTAAACCCCTTCCTGCAGTTCCTTCCCAGGTCCCTCTCTTCTGTAGCCCAGGCTAGCTAGGGCTGTGGCAGGTAGGTGCCGCAATGACTTGGGGTGCTGGGACCGCTCTGCCCAGCGCTGGGGTTAATGCTCTGGTGCTCTGCGGCCGGGCTGCCTGTGTCTCCGTGGCTGGGGGCGCTGCAGCTGGGCTGCCCGGAGCTGGGGTTGGGAGCTTGCCCGGAGCTCCGAGGTTGGGGGGTGCTTGGGTGGCCCGGTGCTGGGAATCCTCAAGGTGGTGAGGGGTTGCGCTGGGCTCCTGCGGGGGAGGGGCAGCAGAAGGGGAGGGGAGAGAGAAGGGTGGGCCTCAGGCAGAAGAGGAGGGCCTGGGGGCTAGCCTCCCCCAGCGCCGGTTCACTGGCCACCCATGTTCTTCTGATCCATCTGTATATATGCACATTCAGATTTTGAAAGGAGACTGACTCACCATTCAGTTTGCAAAGGAAACACTGAAAAAAATTCTATTAAAATGAAAAGAGTTGATAGTTTAACTGAAAATAATTCTCCCAGTTCACAATAAATTCTCCCTTGAAAATATAAGGGTGTGCATTTATGCAGCTCAATATACATTAACATGGGATCTGAGTCAAAGCCCAGTGAAGTCAATGGGAGAATTCCAATGGATTTTATTGGGCTTTAGATCAGGCCCCAGGCATAGGAAGAGCACTGTTCCATAGAATACCACCTCCTAGCTCTTATAAAGAGCTTTTCATCTTTAGATCTCAAAGTGCTTTACTATGGAGGTCATTATCCCCATTTTTTTTTACAAGTGGGGAAACTGAGGCATAGGGAAGGAAATGATTTGCCCAAGATCACCCAGCAAGCCAGTGGCAGACCGAGGAATAGAACCCAGGTCTCCTGTGTGAGTCCCAGTCCAGTGCTCTATGCATGAAAAGGTCCTTACTTGGTCCTTCTATTTGGTCCTTGTACCTAAGGGCTGCTTCTATACTGACACAATTTGACACTTGTTCTCCATTGCCAAAGCTCCACTGTTGGTATTATCAATGGTGATAGCTGTACACAGTCAGGGTGCAGGCATTTTTAATGAACACTGTGTCAACACAAGTGTTCAAAAGCAGACTGTTCCTGCATATGAAAGGAAGCCAGCTATCACAAAGAACATCTCAGGGAGCTGATAGCGATCCAAAGATGTCTGACATCTGTAAACTTACTTGTTTCCACAAAGGCCGAGCAATTCAGTTCATAAACATGGTGATAAAGCACAATGCCATGAAGCCAAATGCAAAATTGCCAAAATGAGTCATGCACTGGAAATACTTTCCATGACATTTAACTTTCATGGCAGGACGTTGGCAGCAAAGGCTTTCATTGCTGACAGCTAAACTGCTGCTGCTCCACTCTGGCTCTCCTTTCCTTTTCTCTATTATTTTTAGCATGCCACAGGTGAACAAGGTGCTTTGTAGATATATAAGATAATAAGGTCCCTGCCTGGAGAATTTTACAGTCTATAATAGACTGATAACACAATAAATAAAGACATCCAACCACGTAGAGGGGAGTGAGGTGGAGTGGGGATGGAGAGAAGGGAATTTTAGCTTCTTATTTTAATGGGTTTGAATTTTTATTTATTTATTTATTTGGCGAGGCAGGGGAAGTGATAAACCTCTGTGTCCCATCGAGGGCATAACAGTAAATATCCTGCCAAATTTCAAAAATTCCAGCACTTGCAGAGATTAGGATGTTACCTCAGACATGGGGGAAGGGGCAGAGGCAATTTACCAGTAGCACAGAAGAACTCAGTTTCACAGAGGAGCAAGCAAGATAGAAATCCAGTCTCCCAGAGGCTCAAGTAGTGTACAAGGAATATTTTTTTACAAAATGTGCTTTCAATACCTTAACATGTTCCTTGGTTTTGTAGAGCTCTTCATGATCCTCTGGAAGTGGATCTTTTACTTTTGCCTTAAGCTCTCGCAGCCTGCTTTCCATTTCTTTGATTAGCTTTTTGCAGCTGTCCCACGTCTGTTTTTTACAGAAACAAGGAAATTATGAATGGTAAATACTTCACAATATGAACATATTGTACTGTATGGATGAATGAAAGAACAACAATTTCTAAATTAATTAGTTTTAAAGGACTGATCATCAGGATCTTCTCCCAGTGCGTGCACACTGTCCCTAATAAGAATTTCATTTATGGATTAATGGGAGAATTGAGCCCTCTTGTATTCAATGTTTGCCTTGAAGTTCATTTTAGCTCAAGTGGTTCACATCTCCTTTTATACAAACTAAGATTCTTTGGAGCATAGTTTTAAATTATGCTGGAGATCAATTAAAGTGATATAATTAAATATGAAGTTTTTATGCTTTGAAACACAAATTTACTACAGAGAGGAAACGTTCATGGATCTCTCTCTTACATTCAGAGGGGGTATATATGGAGAGGTGCATATGGCCTCTGGCATAGTCTGCACCTATAATGGCTCTAAAAGAGAGTAAAGAGGTGTGACTAATGTCACTGGCCCAAATTCTCACCCAGGTGCTTCATGGCTGAAAAGTGTGGGCAGAGTTCCACAGCCCAGCCGGGCTCCATGCCCACAGACGATGACTGCAGTCCAAAGAGGGGAAGCCCGTTACAGCAGTATCCACCCAGCTACCCAGCTCCTCTCCACAGAGGTATAATCCACGACTTTGGCCTTCCCACAGCCCCCAGATAGAGAGCGATGGAGCTGGTGGGGAGTGATCTCAAAGGGAGTCAGTCACAGGGCCTCCTCAGAGTCTAGAGTAGGGGAACTCACACTTGATGCTTTACTGGCAAGGAACTCTGCTGGGGAGGCAAGGGCCATGGGAGCCTTTTGACAACTTCAAAATGGAGCTGTTACTTGAGATTAGAGGCCCCTGACTGGGACACACCCCTGCAAGGGCAAGTGGGAGACAACAGAGCCACCATGATACCCCACACCCCCAATCAAAGGCACTGGTTTCAGGGGCTCTGTCCTTGAATGCCACTGTTTCCCCAACCTGTAAGCTTATTTGTGGGGGTTACTGCAGCCCAGTCACGTTGTACTCTTTGCAGGGCCTGCATACAGGACAAAGATAGATTAGGATCCACTGAAGGGCAAACAAAGAGCTGGGAAGCTGATATTCTTTCTGGGGCTCCTTGGGCACTTGCTGCAGAGAGCCTCTCCATCCCACTAGCCTGCTAGGACTGGTCAAGCTTCCACAAAACTGCCCCATGTCGGAACAGGAGTGTGCAGACATATCAAGGTGTGCTCCTCCCCAGAGAACACCTGTCGAGTACCTGCACAGTGCTGAGGAGCTGTTTCATGATCTTCTCCACTTGAAGCTGGGCATCATTCCAATTCTCCTGTAACTGGCTGAGTTCCCCTTGTATTACAGCATTGGTCTCCGGGTCTGAGTCTTTACATAACTTCTCCCCAATATCGACAGCGAGGGAATATGTAGTTTGCCATCTCTGAAGAAGTATGTCCTTGTTCTAAAAAACCAACCACAACATTCTAAATCTCAGCCCTGCGATTAGAGAGCTTTACAAACCTGCTTGGAATTTCACTTTTTAAAAGATGACCTACAAAGGGGAAAAAATGGGCTTGTTCTTTGTTTTTATATAATTTTTTCTTATGTGTTAAAAAAACCCAAACCCTCAACTCTGCATTTTTTCCTGCTTCTTTTGAGCATAAGATGCTATGCTGACTTTATAATGAGTTAAATGATTACAGCAAGAGAGTGAAAGTGGTGCAACTGAGAGGAGATTTTTGGTCATACAGTTAAAAAGTCAAGTGTTTAATAAAACGTTGTGTTTGTTAACAACTCTTTAACTTCAATGACTAAGCAACATATTGGAGAAAGAATGTCCTCCATGAACCCTAACAAGATCTTCACCAAAAATAGGGAAGATGAAAGTTAACATTCCTGTTATATCCAAGCAGAAAAGCATCCATAAAAGCCAGACTTTCTGGCCTTAATTATACATCATAAAGAAGCAAAAACAGGCACTAGTATAATTTTTAAAGTCCCCTAAAGGTCACCTTTAACAACAGGAGAAAATAAACATGAAACAAATGAGGCTAGCAACAAAGGAATGGGGCACTGAAAGTCTTAACATTTATAGTAGTCCTAGGTCCTAATGTTAATGGATTGTGTCTGTGCAGAAAGAGTAGTCTAATAATGAATCAAAACCAAATTTTCTGATTGCCTTATACATAGGCCAGTTAGGTGCTTCTGTTCACCTTCTTATAATACAATGGAATATTCAATTCAACTGAAAGGCAACACATTTAAAACTAATAAAAGGAAATTATTTTTTACACATTTCATAATCAATCTGTGGAACTCATTGACTCAAAGTATCACTGAGGCCAAAAGTTTAGTGCCACTCAGGAAACCTTTAGACATTTATATTGATAATAAGAAGATCTACAGTTACACTACATGAAATATATTTTTAGTAAGGAATATAAGCTTTCATACTTCAAGTCATAAACCGGACACTAAATGACAAAAGTTAGGAAGAAACTTCCCCTATCTGATAGTTATTCCATCACTAACTATTGTGGCCTTGTCTACACTGAAGTTTTCTTACCTCTTATTTTTAAAAAGGATAAGTGTAAACCACAATTCTGTGCACTAAAGTGAACAATGCCAGGTCTACACTAGCAGGCGCCCCTACTATTATGGGGTCTTCTCCCATCGTAAGGTACTACTGTACTGGACATGAGGAAGGTTGGCAGAATCAGGTTCTAATGAATTCAAAATAGTTCAGCTAATCTAATAAGACATATCATTGTTTGAAATATTCTCTGTCATGGAATATTTCTCTCCAAAGCAAAAAATTATTCAGTACTCTACCAAATATAAAGCTGGCTTCTAATCAGACAGTATGCAACTTTAAACTCAGATTCCAATTACACTTTAAACTATTAACTTTAAGAGCTTCTCTATCCAGAAATCCGGGACAGTGTTGCACTATTAACCAAGCAAGAGATTCTGGTTTTGGTTCATAATTAAACCTAAAGTTACTTTTTGCCTGAATAGGGTCACATTTAAATTAAAAATCAAACAGCTCCTGTAACTTAAGTTGTTAATGTTCAGTTCAACATTCCCATTAACATAAAACCTCCCAATTACAGTAAATACGAACTATTGGGAATTTTGAAAATTTACTCACAGAGGTCACTCAAACGAAGACAAGCAAAAGGAAATAGGGCTGACTTTCTGCAATATTATAGGCAGGCATAGTCTATGTGCTTTAGCGAGAACCTGTTGAGGTTCTTTGAATCTTTTCATCAGGACACGTTCACTAAAAACTGCATCTGGCTCCCATATCATAATTTATTTAGGAGTTTATTGTGGGTTTCCACAATGCATAAATCAAGACAAATTTTAATGAAACTGTCCCTTTAAAGAGAAAAGAGTTTGTTTTGAAAAGAAGTTAAAAAAGAAATCAGCAATTTGTTTTGTGCAAAAAGCAAATGCTTTTAACGTCCTTTCATTTTTCTGGATACATGTCATTGCAATCTGAAAAATCACTGATCATCTATCTGTTTATAAGAAATAAAAATATGACCTTGAAATCGTGAATTAGATTCCTAAGATGGTAGAGGCTGTAGCTGTCCTGGCTCTTCACAGCCGCTATGAAGTTATTTGTGCAAGTAAGAAAATTTGTGAGATTCTGTTGAGAAACCCTGAAGTGTTGCCACTGCTTCACAAGTCCATCAATATCTTTCCTCCTCTGCTGAACCATCCGAACAACACTCTGCCACTGCTCCTTCAGCAATGTGAGTTTGGAAATAAACTCCGTTCTGAAGAGGACAGAGATTGGTGTGTTAATACAGAATGTCATCTTCACCTTGAAAGCATAAAATGGAGCACCATAAGCACCAGCCTTCTCTGTGCATCAAAACTTCTGTGTGACAGAAAACTATAAAATGATACAAGAACAAACACGAGAGTTTCTCCTGCTGTGGTGCAGCAGCATATGGTACAGCTAGACCCAGGAGCAAGTTGTTCCAAATTCTTGAAGTGGATGGAAGTCAATACTGGCAGGAACTGCACTGCAAAACAGAGCTGTACTTGGGCAACGCTAGAACAGCCTCCTGTCACCATTGTACTCTAGTGCAGGTGGAGCCTTAGAGCCCATCTGCATCACAAAAAAACCCTGTGTGGGGCTGAACCCCTTCAAATCAGTTTTTGGTTTCTACCATGAGATATAATATGACTTTTGCCTGCTCCACATTAACAAGTTGAAGTGTTTTCAGCCCATGCTAGTAAAAATGGGTTCAGCTAACATACTTTTTGAATAGTTCAGATGACGCCTGAGAGAAAAAAAGGGAAGGGGAAAGGTAAATCCCTTGCAACGTTCCTGCTACCTATGGAGGGTGGGGTTCACATAAAACAGACTCGTAGAGATGTTCCGTGAGTTCGTACTCTGGCCAACAAACAACTCATCTCTCCGTTACCCAAACTGGGATCATGTTGGGTTTACAAAAATTAGCCAGAAGACCATGTCCTCTTGTGAGCATGAAGAATCACCATGCTCCGCTGCTAGGTGCCTTTCTTAAGTGCTCTCTCACTTGCGGCATGAGTACTCAAGGAGGAAAAGAGGATCGAGTCCTTTACATATGGCAATCGTTTTACCTACCACCAGAGTATAGCCACCACAGCTGTAAACACAGCAACTCTTTAACAGTGCACAGCAATTAGGGCAGGAAGTGAAGGATATTTTATCCCAGGAGAAACTACAAGGGGCTATTTGTTTTTTAGGTAGGCAGAATGTAGTTATTACCCAAAGGGGAACTTGGCCAGGACACCGGTGGTCACACCCCTACTTTTGCAAGATGTACCAGAGGCTCTAATGAACACACGTAGTTTTGACTTGGGTTTAAAAAGTCTCTTTTAAGGGACAGCTGAGGGTGGTTCGCTACTGACTCAGAGGGAAGCATGTAACACATTAAACCATATCAACACATTCACATACATCATAGGTAAGGCTACGTTTTAGTCACAGGTATTTTTAGTAAAAGTCATGGACAGGTCACGGGCAGTAAACAAAAATTCATGGCCTGTGAACTGTCCATGACTTTTACTATATTCCCCGAACTAAAACTTGGGCGGAAGGCCCTGGGTGCTCTGGGGGGGCGGTCCACGGACAGTGGTGACCCCCGCTGGTGCTGGGAGGGGGGGCCAGGTGGCGGTGCATGGCCCAGGACTCCCACTAGTACTGAGGAAAGGGTTGGCGGGGCTGGCAGGCTCCCTACCCGGCTCCACGTGTCCCTGCAGCTCCTAGGGGGAAGGATGGCCAGGGGAGCTCTGCACGCTGCTCCCGCCACAAGCGCTGGCTCCACAGCTCTCATTGGCCAGAAACTGCAGCCAATGGGAGCTGTGGGGGCAGCACCTGCGAGCGCAGGCAGAGCCCCCTGGCCCCTCCGCCTAGAAGCGGGAGGTACATGCCAGTGGGACCTGGGGACCTGAGCTAAGCGCCTCCCCGCACCCCAACCCCGAGTCCTGTCCCACACACCCAAATTGCTGTTGTTGGCCCAGGGGCTGCCCGGCTTGGCCAGCCCGAGCCAGCACCGGACACTGCAGAAGTCAGAGAGCTCACGGAATCCATGACAGACACACAGCCTTAATAATAGGCATAGAAATAAACGGCCATACGCTCATCATTTCAATGAAAATCTATGTGCCGGGGAGCCATCTGAATAAATGTATCCACAAGTACTTGGCTGCGGCTGGGTCACAGAGCTCCTTCAGCCCCGGGGCTGCAGCGGGGCTAGAGGAGTTCTGTGCCCCAGCCAACTATTGGGGGTTGGGGATGCCCCTGCTTGTCCCCCCTTTGTGCATGCCCCTGGTAAGAACTAAGGAGAAAAATCTGTTTTTTTTTTTACCTTTTTTCTGCTTCTCCTGTTTCCAGCGAAAGTAATGCTTTTGATATGATAGAATTAAAAATCTGCTGATTTACAGAAATCTCCGCTTGCAGCATCTGCAAACATTGCAAAAATAAGAATATTAGTTCAGTAACTGACGGGCATTTAAAAACAAACTTTACAATGGGCTTGACTACACACAGAATTATTCTGGTATAGCTATTCTTGAACAGCTCCATATTTAGTGAATAAGGAGCAGAATCTGGCCCACATGCCCTAAGGAGTACAAGTTTTACATAAAGTAGTAAATGTTTAGTATAATGTTTGTGGAATTAGATGCACAACTACTAATTATAAAAAAGTCTGGGTGACATCCTGTCTCTGTGTCTCTAACTTGCACTGCATGTCATTTAGTATTTGCAGACACAATTTTTGTGATTTATTTCAGCTGGGACAAGAAGCATCCACTCAGCCTTGCCCCAATTTAATGTTCCCAAGGTGTAATGTATTATTGACACTTCGAGTGGATTCCATTTATATATTGCACAGAATGCTGTTGTTCTATAATACCACCCACAGTATCTCTTTGCAAAGATATGGTTTTCAAGATTTTTTTTTAAAACCCAGTTTAAATCTTCAGCATTATTACCTCATATATTCTCTGTTGTTCCTGAAGCTTTTCAAATCTGCCAGCAATATTCACTTTTAAAGCCTCTTTCATCTTTTCTAGAAATTGTACCCAGTTTTCACATTTCTGAAGAAACTTCTTTTCATCCGATGGAATTCCCTCAAATTCACTGTTTAAAGAAATAATACAGGAACTAGTCTATTGCTGTATATTTTCCAGTTATGATTGTTTATGCTCTAACGGACTGGTAGCACCACAGGCCCTAATCAAGATAAGGTCCCATTTTGCTAGTCTCTGCACAAAACACATGCTAACATATGTCCCTTTGTGCTCCAAATAATTTAAAATATTTAAAAAACCAACAATCTGATGGAATATTTTTAAGTTAGTTTAAAAGGGAGGAATTATTGTTGACAAGCCTCTTGGAAATCTGGGGACCAGCTTTTGGAAAATATTTTAATCTGCTTTTAATTTTCCTCATGCATACTGAAACAGTTGGGGGAATTTTTTGACCTGCAATGCTCCAGGGCTGTTGCTGTCTTCTGAGCCCACTGTCGATTCATGCTCTGTAGTTTCTTCACAGTGAAATCACTGAGTGGTAGCCTAAAGCTCACTTCATTCAGATTCTCAATGTCAGGGGACACTGCAGTGAGCTCCAACATGTGGCTCTGCAAATAATGGAACAAAATAACTGACAGAAACATCACCTCTTTCCCATGTCTAGAAAATATAAGTCTTTTTTGTGATGTTTGACAACACAATGTAAACAATGCCTTTTGTTCAGGTTAAAAGGGTCATGGATGAAAAAGATGAATTTCAAGAAGCATAGTTAGTTAATATTGGGCTATATCATCCCTTCATGTACTATTCCACTAGAGAGGACTGAAAACAAGAGTTTTCGCTTTCAGTTTCCTTTGCACAATTATTGGGGGAAAAGTCAGACACACCCTCCGAATCCTCATTCATGGAAGTAGTAAAGGGTTACGCACAGCGTATTTTGTAGTATCTATAAATAGCAGGGCTTAAATTTCATAGAGAAGTTTGAGGAGAACGAATTGTGCCAACCCCAGATCCAGCAGGTTTCTCTCTTCTCTTTTACAATTCTGCCTGAAATCCATGTTCTGATTCCTTTTTAAAAATAACTCATTATGTTTTATGTTGCTCTGGCGATTCAATTATTCTGATGCAAGGCTCTTCAGGTAAAGTATTCCATTGCATTTCTGATTTCCTTAGAAATTTTTTAATGACAAAGAACCATCTTCTGCTAGCAATTAAAATGACCAAAGCTGCTGCTATGCTTGTGAAGAAAGAAAGCTGGCCTTTTCCATCATGACATTGGACATACATCATTTGCTAAGATGAAGTTTAAAACATTTTACGTAATACAAAACTTCAGGTTTATAGATAATTTATTTGGAATAGTTTTATGTATATTTGTCAAGATTTTTTTTTGAAATTACATATTCATTGTCAATAGTGGCATAATCATCACAATGAAGTCACTAAAATTTAAATACCTGGCGTCTCAGTACATATTAAATTAGTTTAATGGCCAGTTCAGTTCTCTAAGGGCCCAATCCAAAGCTCACTAATTGTCCATTTAGTCAGACTTCATGGAAGAGTCAAGAACTTGGCCTCATTATAGGCAGGGATATTAGCACTGCATATTACTAGAATTACCAGATGCTTTCCATCATAAGACCCTGTATTCAGTTGCTTACAACTTTCCCAGACTTTAAACCTTTTGGCTGGAATTCTCCATATAGGTTGTCCGGCTGACGCTGATTTTTTTCTGAGAAACTTTCAGCCACAACGGTCCAGCCATTTCCGAGAACGAGGCTAGAGAAATATATATTTTGCCCATGTTAAGAATTCGGTGACCTTTTCTTCGAACAGTTCTAGTAACTCTATGCCTTGGAGAAAGGATTAGAAATTTTGCAAGGAGATGGCCTCTGTGCCAGGGATGTGCCTTTTGCCATCCCCATGAAAATCTAGCCAAATAATATGCTATTGCAAAATCAGTGCATGTACTCATAGACTTCTTCAATGGTAGCAGTTAAAATCTCTGAAGAGACTGTCTTCAGTGAGCATGCTCAAGCCTCTCACAGCTCCTAGTGCTCATACCATCCCCACAGGGCAACAGAGCACACTCCCTCCCCTCAGAGCTCCTCCATGTGACCAGACTGAGCATGTGCCATCCCTACAGAACAACTGAACATGCTCCAGCAACAAAGCCAGACTTTCCCTGTAATGCCTGCTTTTAGCTGCTCTGGGACAGGTTGAGGCCAGGCACCAGAACTGATGGCAGGGAGCCCATCTCTTCTGTGCTCTCAGTGACATCCCCCCCGTGCTCCTCTGGAAGCCATCTGATTCAGATGCAGGGGTGACAAAACTTGGAGTGGGGGAAAGGAAGGAAGTAGACTGGGAAAGTGTCTGATGAGAGTGGGACTGGAGGGAGTGGGATGCAAAGTTAGGACAGGGAGCCAGAGGGAAAACTGGGACTGGAAGTTGGAAGGGGGCTGGGGAAGAAAAGAAACAAACCAGATGAGGAGCAGGAGAAGGGAACTGGGACTGGCTGAGCAGGACGACTTGGAGGATTTGAGGAGTGGGAGAGATGGGGAGATTGGGACTTGGACAGCAAGGCCAGACAGAGAGACTAGGACTGGGTAGGCCCGGAGAATGGGACTGGGACAAAGGGGTCAGGGGTGGGGAAGAGACAGAACATGACTGGGTTGGAGATGGTGGGGAAGAAGAAGTCAGACTCGGAAGGAAGGAGAAGAAAATTCTATGCCCAGTAGAGCATACTTCCCTCCAGAGCCTGGAATAGAACCCAGGATTCCTGAATGCCACCATTTCTCTGCTGTCAGTGAACCCCCCTAGTCAAGTGTCCTATCCCTCTCTAGCGCTGGCCCACGTGGAGGATGAAAACTTAGTGCAGCTATCAATTACTCAGCTCAAGTGGCAGAGGTTTTTGCAGTGGATCTAAAGGTTCCAGTCCTGCTGATGACCTCATGTTGGTGTCACTATGATGGAATTTCTGGTTTTTCAGTTTGCTTTTTAAAAAAACCTCAGAAATTACACACCAACATGTTATGTTAACATTATTAAAGTGGCAAAGTCAAGCACTCAAAAGTTAGGAAATCACAGAATTGAGGTTGCCTGTGCCACCTTAATTTGGGCCCTTGTGCATATGCACTGTGATACAGTCTTAAATTACTATTTTTTTCAAGACGACCCCTACCTCATTCCCTGCACAGGATGGACCTGCTCTGAATATTATCCATCAGGCTAATTTAGTAAAGGAAATTGTTGTCTGTAGGACCCCTGCTTTTTTGTTGCAGAAGTTGGAGGTGTGTAGTGAATGAGGCAGGGGACTCCAGGAAGAGAAAAGAGGGTCTCATTGTTAAGGCAGTTGAATGGACAACTGGATTCCACCCCTGCTTCTGCCACAGAGTTCTGCACTAAATGGGCCAGGGACCTTGTGGGGAAACAATAGTATGTGATCAGGAAATCCAAGACTGTATCATAATGGATATGCATGTAGGGGCCAAATTAAAGTTGCACAGGCAACCTCAATCCTGGCATTTCCTAACTTCTGAGCGCTTGATTTTGCCACCTTAATAATGTTCTCTTAACACATTTTTTGTGTATGTAACATTTATGATAATTAAGCTACAGGAAGTACCTATAATGCTACATGAATAAGTATCCTACAGACTCTCTTACATATGCATAATTTATATCCTTATAGTCATAAGAGCTGGATGTACCATGAGCAATTCTGAGTCTTCTTCTTTTCCCTGGAGATACAGCTTATCCAAAACTTCTATAGGTGTCTTAATTCGAGCTTCCACTGTGCCCAGACAATTATTGAAATCCTCCAGTTGTAAAAGGTTGAACTAGGATGAGAGAATATTTTTGTTATAGTCAGCTTTAATACATATATTCAATATGGACAAAAGAGTAATAAACAGCATCCTTATGAAAACAAACAGCTGCTAGATTAGAGTAACTGGTGTATTTGTAGTTAATATTTATGTCTATATTTAAACCATGCTTATTTATATTCTTTTTCTAGATTTTATCTTTGGAATATGTCCTTGCATTTTTAGAGTAAATTTTTAGACTTGATTTCTTGTTATTGGCTTCACAGTTCTAGAAATTAATGGCTGTTTTTCCACAGCGCAATGAGTTTCTTTCATTGTGAAAGAACAAGGAAAGTGAAATGGAAATGAAGAAAACACTTCATTACATCTAAGGGCACCACTGTCCCCTGTCAGGGTGAGAACTAACTCACTGGGGAGGAGAGATGGTCTTATGGTTAAAGCACTGTAGTGGAACTTGGGAAGCCTGGGCTTATCAGCTCTGCTTAAGACTTATAGAAGGTGGTAAACTCTGCAAGTTTTGACTTACGGCATTTCTTCCCAATTTTTCCACTGAGGAGAAGTAGGATTTAACCCAACATACACACATGTGGCAAGGAGCTGAGCCTCCAAATCCTGTGAATTGTGGGAGATCCACATGGATCTAGGAGAAACAGGGCAACAATGCTGTGCAGAGACCTGCTACCAGGGACTTCATGATTTAGGGTGAAATTATGGAGCCACAGCACAGCTACTCAGATGGCAGGAAGTCTATGAAAATGGTTCTGCTCCCTTATCAGCCACATAGAGAGTTTGGTCCCATTTGCTCCTATAGATAAGGCTGTGAGTGTTACTTGGGCTCTAGTAGCTCCCAACTGGCTCCATCTGAGGGGAAGAAACACAGGACTGGGTCTGGGATCCCACAGTTTTTTTGAGGGAGGAGGTTAGGGTGACTGGGGGACTCTTCACTTCCCTCCCCATTTCCAGGGTTGAGGGAACTGTGCCAGGAAGGGGTCTGGTGTCACCCTCTCTGCCTGAGAGCTCTCAAATTACAGATGTGTAAAGAATGAATGACAAGAACGACAAAGGAAATCACTTGTGGTAAGACCACAAAATTACACAAGGGAAAACGACTACACAACTAGAAGTGAAATAAAACTATATTACACTATAGGTAAAGCTTACACATGATATCAAGAATCAGAGACATCATCCCCAGGAAACAACCTGAGTTTCCAAGCATTGGACTGGGATGATGGATGGAGACATTAAGATCCATCCATATTACAAATTAACAGGCCTGCTTACAAGTGTGTGACAGAGCAGGGTGTGTGTGGAAGGGGAAAACAATTGAAACTGAGTGAATGCAGCATAGCAAGCACACGATGAACCCACCTGTTTCCCCAAGACTTTATTTCTCTTTCGTAACTCAGCTGATGCTATCATTTCACTGAGTTCTAATTCGAATTGAACGTCAGTCCAGGAACGACATGATTTTGTTGAAGAATAAAACTGTATTGAGAGCAAATTTACTATATAAAGAAGTACCTCAAATTCATCTGATTTCATCTGCAACATCTTTTCCAAATAAGCTATCCTTTGGAGAGGATGCACCTTCTCTGCGAGAACTGCATGTGTGGCTGCATTAACCTGTTGTGCTATCTGGTCTGTCAACTCAGAAACCTGGAGAAAGCTTCCCTTTACGGTTTGAAGGCCTTGTTGCAGTATCTAAAATGAAAGATCAAAAAAATAAATCAGATCTGCGTTCCTGTGTCTCTTTTATTGCTATAACTAAACTCCTTTGGTTGATCTGCATTGGAAGCCAAATTCAGCCATAGACTAAGAGAGTGGCTTTCATTGACTTTAATGGGAGTGGCAAGCACTTACTCCGGGGCTGAATCTGATAAGTCTATTAACAATGTTGGGTGGGACGAAACCATAGATGTTACTGAAGGTCGGCCTTCCAGTTACCCAGAGATTTAGGCTGATTTTTTTAAAGGTGCTGAAGAGAATTAGGCATCCAACTCCCAAAGAGCTCTCTTTAGCTCCTTTAAAAATTCCCAGACTTAGTATCTGGATTCAAAGTTCAGTGGGATAACATTGCCCAGTAAAAACAGCGAGGAGTCCTTGTGGTGCCTTAGAGACTAACAAATTTATTTGGGCATAAGCTTTCGTGGGCTAGAACCCACTTCATCAGATGCATGGAGTGGAAAATACAGTAGCAGGTATATATATACACACACACGGTACATGAAAAGATTTCAGGCACTGGGTTACTAATGTTATGAGGGAGATTAGCGAGAGAAATTGGAAAGAATAACCATCCTCTCTAGAATGGCTTTATACAGTGATGATAATATCCTGCTAACAACTATGCTGAACACCTTTGCCAGCACTTTGGAACTATTTTGATTGACTGAGAGCTTTTTTCCCCCTCCAGCAACAATACTATAAATTTCAGTTCTAAATGTTATGAACAGCTGTGGGAGTAGCTGGCACTTCTACAACCAGTATACTGCTTGTAGTTCCTTTTATCTGGAGAGGGATTTACAGAATATCAGCCTGGAATGTGTAATTCTCTGCCACGTTCACTTGATACTAAACATGAAAATCCCCGAGTTTTTTTTCCACACGTTTCAGTGGGCAATGAGTAAAGAAATGTTTCTTCTGATTAACTGTAAAAGTAAGGACAGACTTCCCTGAAAGGTCAAATGTGCTTCTGGCTTATTGACCCTGTCTTTGGCATGGATCAGACTGTAAGCACTTCAGTTATTTATAAAGTTCAAAATACATAATAAAAGTCAGTCATTTTCGGTTCAGTGATTGCTACAAAATAGCCAGATGCTCAGGTTCCCTATGTTACCTTCATAGAATATGGCCACTGCGAGGGGATGGAAATCTGGCAAAAACTGCCAGTCAGGGATTCCTCTTACATTTGGGAATGACTGGAGGGGATTAAGCAAGAGTAGCTGGCTCTATGCCAGTTGCTCCTGGCACCCCACCTCTGGCACAGGGAGACATGTCCAGAGCAAACTGCACCCTGGCGGTGCTCCCTAGGGGACCACTGCAGACAATATAGTTTAGAGAAGCCTTGTTGCTGCTCTAACTAAACTGGTCACGGGCTGCCCACAGAAACTGGAGCGTGCAAGAGACGAGGTCAGGTCACCATCCCCTTCCCTTCTTTGCATGCTGTGCTTGGCCTGACCTGAGGACCTGGCCCAATGTAGTTAAAGAAAATAAAAAAGGATGGATTACCAAAGAGAAGTCAGGCCCTGGTTCCCATTGTCAGGATTTTTAAATAAGTCCGGCCTTGCATAAGGCAGTGAGAGCACTTTTAGGTACCTTCACATCCTGTATCTTCTGCTTCAGGACTTCCTCCATGTTGTCTTCAGGTAAGTGAGCTCCCAAGAGCTGATGACACTGCTCTTCATGTTGTTCTAACCTCAATGCTGCCTCAGTGTATAACCCATCATACGACTCCCAAAGCAATAACAAAGCTTGTGCTGTCTGTAGCTCATCAGTGACTTCTTCATTTGCCAGAGTCCATCTGCAATATACAAGAACATAACACAGGTTATTGATTTATGTTTTGCCCTTAAACTTGAGGACGTGCACAGACCAGACTCTGATCTCTTTTGAAGATTCTCAGTAGAATTTCTCTGGATTTACACCAGGGCATCTGAGATCAGAGTCTTGCCATCAGTAATGTCCATACTGTATTGCATGTTTACTGTGTTGCTGCTTTTTCTGTTTGTTTTTTGGTCTATCACCAGACCCACAATAAAACAATATGTTAAAGTCGACTGGCCCTAGTTCACCAAGATATTTAAGCACATGCCTAACTTTAAACATGTGAGTATTCACAATGAAATCAATTAAAACATTCACATGCCTAAAGTTACGCACATGCTCAGTACCTTGCAGAAGCAGGGGGCTTTATTACCAACATCTATTTTGTGGTTTTTCTTAGGTGTACCTTGCATGTGCCTCCTTGCATTTATGTTCAATAATCTCTGCAAATGAGGAACAACAATATTTCTTGAGGTTAGCAGCAGAAGCCTGGAGCTTGGCCCAGCTTTCTTCACTCTTCTCTGCTTTGTCTTGAAGAGACTGTGAAAAATGAGTCACAACAATTAGATGTGGAGACGAATGAGCCACAGTTCATTGAGCTAAAATGTAGTTTTCTTTAGAGACTAGGAGATGTATAGTAGTGATACTGTAACAACATTTATGGCAAAGACAAGTTTTGTGAAAGAAAGAAATAATAATGTAACAATAATATACTTGCTGCTACAAATTAAAGAATTGAAGAATAAATTGTGGCCCAATCCAGTAATACATCATTTCAGAAGCATCTCTTCAGACAGGTATTGGTCCAGTGGGACTCCCCGTGTGAATAAGTGCTACTCAAAGCAAGAAAGTGTTGAAGAATTAGGCCTTTGACTGGCAAATATGGAAAAATAACTGGTTTGAAATTCTGTATTAAATATCAATAGAAAAATATCAATTGACTTTTTAAAGAAGTTTCACTTATTTAGTTCAAACTATTCATTCTAAATTGGAATTCGTTTTTCCTTTGGTGTTACTTGTTCTTAGTCCAACCAAAGAGCAGACGTACTTTGAAATTCTTATTTTAGATCGGAAATAATAAAGAAAGGTTAAATATCAATAACTAGAGTCCTCTGAATACATGAGGCTTGATTCCCTGTTGCCCTGCACCTTGTTTGTTCATTGTAAAGAGAGCACAGAGCAAGCACAAAACAGTACCATTCTGATTTGTTCATACTTTGCACCTGGTCTGCACTAGTGTGAACGACTACATGAGGTATAGGGCAATGAAGAATTAGGCCTTGTCTACACACAATCTTGCATTTGTTTAATTAATCTGGTGGATACCTGAAAGTGGTTTATTTCAATTTAGTTTACACTAGTTCCTAACTTAAGATAAATCCAAAAAAGCCTGATTTAAACTGAAATAAGAGCATCTACACAGCTTTTGGCACTGGTTTAACTAAACTGGTTTACGTTCAGACCTTTAGTTAAACTGGTGCAACTCCGCTACTAGAACAGCCCCTGGGCCCATTGTCTCTGCAGACAGAAAGAATGCCACTGACTCCCATGGGCTTTGGGTTAGGTCCATCGTGAAGCTCTAAAGAATCAGTTTCCTGAGGGGAAACTTTCTGGTTTTTTAATTAATCTTCGCCCACATTTGCACTAATACATCTACATTGTCTTTGGTAGATTTACCTGCAGAGTCTTCACCTGGCCTTTCAAAGCTTCCAGCGATATTACAGAAGGTTTGCATTGTTCTAGGCAGTACAAAGAGCTTATTATCATCAGGTTAACTTCTTCATAGGCTTCGTCATAAATTATCCATTGCTGTAATATTGACTGCATTGAGGTTTTTAACTGTGCTACCTGTAAACAAACAATCACTGCTGAGAAAAAGGATTGCTCCTGCTTAACATTTACTTACAAAATGTGTTAATGAAGCTATTTCTTGGGTAATTTTGAAATAAAAATGGACTTCAGTACTTCAGCTCAACGCATGCTGGATGACAATCCACAAAAATTTCACAAATGAAGTAACGGGTTAAGTTTGAAATACAAATTTAACTGGATACCAAAGCAATGCTGGTTTGGCAGCCACCACTCCAGAACCCCAGGCTAGGTGAAAATGTGCAGAAACAACGCACAGCTGTTATTCTTTGCTGCCAATATCAGGATGCCCGCTATCAGATAAAGTACTGTGGCTCCTGAAGGCCTTAATCTCCTTAGGAAATAGACAATTTGAGATGGAAATTTAGTTCCAGTTTAGTCAAAATGGAACAGAAATTGTTTGGGGTAATTCAAGCTTCTAATAAAATACCATAGTGTTCTAGAGAGCGACATTCTCTTGTATGCCATTGTGCTACAACAATGCAGATGAAACAGAACCACAGCCTTGTATTCCCATTCAACAACTGCTGGAGGAACTTCAGGACTCACTAGATACAAGAGCCGTGCAATGAATGAGGTGACAAACTTTCCTCTTTTCCCCTACCCCTTTTCATTATTACAATTACTTTTATCATAGTAGGACTGAAAAGGTTTTCCTTTGTCACAGTCTTTGTGACGTTGCCACAAGAATGACATCATAGACCTATTCCAGTTGTTACAGGTTGTTCTTATTTTTCTATAGCACCCACCCCCTCATGGGCAGGTTCTCACCTTGCAAAACGTAGGGCTAGATTCTGACTCTGACTACACACCTATACAAGAAAATATGGAGGAGACAGAACTCCCCACCCTTTTGCCCACTATATCGGCTACCTGTATCTTAGGTCCAGGTGTGCAGGAGTAAGCACAGCCACTTATTCCTTATCTGGACCAAGTGGGCAGGATAGGTCCAGGTTGCGAATAGGTGGACTTTTGGCTCAATCCCATTACTCGTTGGCTAGTGTACCTGAGGCAGTGTGCAGAGGTAGGAATAATTTACTGTTGGTACCAGTGAGCAGCAAATTATTGGCACCAGAGAGCAAAGGGGACGCAGGGAGGAATTGTGCCTCTGAGCAGGGTTGGAGTCACAGTCCTACCTGAGACTGTCCCAGCAGTGGTGCAATTAGTGCACCACCCCTTGCTGAGGACCGTGAAGTCGCAATCTAGCCCCTAATTAGGCCAGCCTGCTAGAAGGGAAGAAGCAGTACCTAAATAGAACCTCAGGGTTACGAACACCAGAGCTACAAACTGACCAGTCAACCACGCACCTCATTGGGTATGGGAAGTATGCAATCAAGCAGCAGCAGAGACCAAAAAAAAACCCCAATAAAAAAAGCAAATACTGTCGAGCACTGTGTTAAATGATGTAAACTACTAAAAAAATAAAGGAAAAGCAGCATTTTTCTTCTGCATAGTAAGGTTTCAAAGCTGGATTAAGTCTATGTTCAGTTGTAAACTTTTGAAAGAACCACCCTAACCCTTGGTTCAGTTATGAACATGTCAGAGTTATAAACAACCTTCATTTCTGAAGTGTTCACAACTCTGAGATTCTACTGTATGTTACATACAGAAAAACCTGACATTTAAAGAACATTAGGGTTGCAAAGTTAAGCAATTAAACGTTAGGAAATGTCAAAATTAAGGTTGCTTATGGCAGCTGGGAGTAGCAATTGCACAGAAAGCCTTGCTCAGCCCCTGTAGCTCTTGGCAGGAGTATGTTCAGTACAGATGGAAGTGTCAGAGAATTTCACTGCTAAACTCTAATAAGTCTCTACTGAGCACATTTGAATGGAGATTTTTCAAATTCTTCTAACTGGGTCAAATTAGAGCTTTCATTGGTCCAGCAAAGGAAAAAAAAAAAAGGGGGCCTTTCTCTGGCACCATGGTGACTTCCCATTGCTGAATTTCAAATCCCTGTTCCAAAACATTGGTGTACCAGAGCTTCTCAACAGAACAGTTGGAAGAATGTTTTTAACATGAACAAAACAATGTATTTTCTCTAATTTCATTCTGAGAAACAGCTGAACCATTTCTGCTGAAGCTTAAAAAATATTTTAAAAAATCAGCCTGAAGCAGACACCTGATGTGGAAAATTTCAGTCAAAATGGTTAAAATTTGGCTAAGTTACCTACTGGAAAGCATTGAGCAACCTTAACTTTATCTGCATTACTTATAGTATTATATATTATATGATGAATTGTAAACATAAAGCTGTATTTATCATACTCATATGACATTGCTGGGGTTAACTGGCCTAAGAATAAGTTATGGAGAGCCATTGAGGAGGGAAAGGGAATCCACAGGAACGTGAGTGGAGCAACTGGGAACTATAAGGGATCTGCTTAGAATTAAAAAAAGCAGTGGGAGTGGAGGAGGGAGAACCCAGTGCTGTGAAGATGGAAAAGGATTTGCTGGGAACAGAGAGTCTCCATCAGGACTCTAGCAGAGAGCAGGAACACATAGGAATAGTAAGGGACCAAGTGGATCCAGTTAGGAAGTTTGAAGTTTTCAACCAAAGCCTTTAAGCTACCAGAAAAATGTAGATACTTTTTTAAAAAATTGGTAAAAGGGGGTAATTTTTTTCTTATTTGACTCCAAAGCAGGTTGATCTTTTTTCTTTTTTCCAAACTTGGCATACAGGTTCTCCTTTGGCATGAGAATAAGCATGATAGTTTTTTGGCCAAAAGGAGAGTTCTTGCCAAAGCTATATGGAGCAAAAAGAAGTAGAAAAAACAGTTACCTACCTTTGTAACTGTTGTTCTTCGAGATGTGTTGCTCATGTCCATTCCATTCTAGGTGCGCGTGTGCCCACATGCACAGTCGTCTGAGATTTTTGCCTTAGCGGTACCTGTAGGCTGCCCGTTTGGGAGGGACCCGCCACTGCTTCGTCCGGAGATGACGATCACGAGTGCACCGACGGGGCCTTCTCCAGGGATGGCTCGTTAGGTCCTGGAGTCCGATGCGCTGCTCCCCACATCAGATTTGATACTGTTTTCAGACTCCGGTGCTGGCGGTGCCGGGGGCGGTTTGTCCGAGGCAGCCCAGGAGGACTGGTGGGAATACAGGCTTGGCATTATGGGCATGCCCCACGGGTTCCAGTACGGCCACTGAGCAGGCCACTGTCCCTGCTGCTATGCCATCGCTGCAGGCGCTGTGCCACCTTCGTGGGTCAGCGGCGAATCACCCCTCCTTGGCGAGGGGCTGAACTCCCAGTCCGAATCTGACCATTGTTCTTCCAGCAATCAGGACAGAGTCATCGAGGCCTCAGTCTGCCGACTGACCTTAGTCGGCGACTGGTGAGATGAGGGCAAGGAGCGCTGTCTGCTTGATGAGCGGAACTGGGGGGGATGGAGACCGGTGCCGCGACCGGGATCAATCCCGGCCTGGTGGGGACTGACGTCTGGGAGACCCTCTTGGTAACTGTGACTTGTGCCATGGCAATCTTTGACAGGAAACTGGCCGGTACTGGTGGTACGGGGACTGGTGTCTTGACTCTGGTGTCCCATGTCTTGTAGGGGGAAAGCGCGGTGTCAGGAACCTGGGCCTTCTGACTGGAGACGGGGAATGGGGTGCCAGGACCCTAGGCTGTGGAGATGGGCATCTACGCCTGCAGTCCAGGGACAGAGGGTGCTCCACTGCCCTGTGGGGCACTCCCATGACCGGCTTGCCTTTAGGTGTTGGGGCCTTAGCCAAGGCCGGTGCCTGGTGCAGCATCTGTGGTGCTGGTCAACTGGCTTGTTCTTTAGCCACCTGGGCTGCTCCAGGCAATGAGGGCCTGAGAAGCCAGGGTCCCCTGCTGCTCCTGGGAGTTGGAGGTGTATCCCTGGCCGGGCTGAGGGGTCTGACCTCAGCGGTATCCCCGTGAAGCCCCGGGGCGGGCACATGGCCTGCCACTGTTCCTTTGCCTGAGGCTCCTTTCCATTCTGGTGCCAGGGGCTCCTCTTCTTTTGTCGCTTCTTTGGCACTGGTGAGGGGGAGCAGTGCAGGCGGCACCTGGTGCCAGCAGTGTGCACCACACCGATGTCGAGGTGCTGGGCGTGGGATCGAGTGGGAGGGCTCTGACACAGGACGAAGTGCAGCCTCCAGGAGGAGAGTCTTCAAGCAGATATCTCGCTCCTTCTGGGTTCTAGGGCGAAAGTTCTTACAGATTCTGGACTCGTCCTTCAGACAACTGTCGTGGGGGTCACTAATAAGCTTCGGCCTGTTGCATGACGAGCATGGTTTGAAGCCAGGAGAGTGGGGTATGCCATGCTCCCGGGCGAAGTCCCAGCCGGGACTCTAACTACCAAATAATCCAACACTTAATTTAAAGGCTAACTAAGTACCTAAACTATATACAATGAAGACAGACAATGGACAGTTGAAGAACCGCTAATGATCTTGCGATTGCAAGACAAGGCGCTCTGACCAACCGTCACAAGCGGTGAGAAGGAACGCAGAGGGCATAAGGTCAGTGGCGCCTATATACCAGTACATGGGCGCGGCACTCAAGGGAGTGCCGCAGCTGACCCTACGGATACCGCTAAGGCGAAAATCTCTGACGACTGTGCACACCTAGAATGGAATTGACATGAGCAAGCACTCTAAGAAGAACGGGACATCTACTGCAGCCTTAACTACGGATTGGTCATTGAACAGCTCAGTAATACTGGAAATTCCCAAAGAGGGTTTGGAACAGTTGCTAAGATTAAATCCTGGGGAGAAGTGTAAATGCAAAGTTCTCTACCTGACTGACAACACTGTTCCTCATTTCATGTAGCTTATCCATTCTGACAGCCATATCTTCTGAGGTTTGTTTTGCACCATCTTCCAAAGCCATATAATTCTGTTTTAGCTGATCCAGAGCTTTGGACTTAATTGCAAGATGATTTTCTAGCTCCTAAAGGGAAAGAAAGATAAAAATCTTTATCTGTGTGACAATACAAAAGTAAAGACAAATGATTCTTCTTTAAAATCAATCCCATGTCGTTTTTCTAACCATGAGAAACTTACAGCAATTGAGTTCTGGCAGAAATGAGTTTGCCTCAGGAAACTGGAACAATTGTAAATGACTGTGAATTAGCAGTCTCTTACATGCAGAACACAAGAAACTGCATTTTGCCTTGACATGGAATGCACATGCTGATTTGGAACTGAGAGCCAGATCCTCCGCCAGCACTTGGGCTCCCTTGTACCACTCCAGGCAAAGGGGCTAGAAAGCTTTTCAAGCAGGGCAGCAGAAGATTCCCTGTGTCAGATTCCAGCCCTCCTACCCACTCCAGCATATGAATGCGAGGTAGGAGCATCTTGCACAATGGGGATCTCTGGCTTCATAACAGTTACTAGGAAGTCATTTTCAGCTGACATGGGTTAGAGCAGTCCTGAGGCTCCTTTAACTTACACTGAGCCTGACATGAGCCCTGGCTGACCCTAGCATTGGGGAATGCATAGGTAGCTTTAAGCCACCTTTCCCTTCACCTTTCAGATCCTGCCTCCAGCATAGAGGAGTGACGTTTTGGAATAGCCTTCCAAGGGAAGCAGTGTGGGCAAAAGACCTATCTGGTTTTAAGATTAAACTCGATAAGTTTATGGAGGAGATGGTATGATGGGATAACATGATTTTGGTAATTAACTGAACTTTAAATATTCATGGTAAATAGGCCCAATGGCCTGTGATGGGATGTTAGATGGGGTGGGATCTGAGTTACTATGGAAAATTCTTTCTTGGGTATCTGGCTGGTGAATCTTGCCCATATGCTCAGAGTTTAGCTGATCGCCATATTTGGGGTCGGGAAGGAATTTTCCTCCAGGGCAGATTGGAAGAGGCCCTGGAGGTTTTTCACCTTCCTCTGTAGCATGAGGCACATGTCACTTGCTGGAGGATTCTCTGCTCCTTGAAGTCTTTACACCACGATTTGAGGACTTCAATAGCTCAGACATAGGTGAGAGGTTTTTCACAGGAGTGGGTGGGTGAGATTCTGTAGCCTGCATTGTGCAGGAAGTCGGACTAGACGATCATAATGGTCCCTTCTGACCTTAGGATCTATGAACCTGGCCTGGAGTTTGGAAGCAGTCTCACTGAAGTCAGTGGGACTACTTGTGAGAAGAACTGCTCCCCAACGCGATTAAGGTGATCACTACCCCGCAGCAGTACATGTGAATGTTTCACACATCCAAATGGGCCAATTCCTTTAACTAAAATGTTGCCCTTTAAGTCAGCACATGTTTTCTGTTAATGATTCACTGTCCAATAGCTTTTTGAATTTATTTAAAATCATTTAATTTTTAATGAAGTAAATGAATTTTAATTAAGTGTTTTACCCACCCGAAGCGTAGAATCTTGCTATGATCAGATATGGTACTTTAGAGATACCAAAAGTATCTTATTAACTAGCTGGCAGAGTCTCACCCCAATACACTTCAGAGAAAATGCAGATAGATGAGTAACTCTGCATTAATACAGCACTGCAGGGAATAATAGCAGCATAATATGAGAGAGATACAAGTAACCATGGCAATAAAATAACAAACATTTCATGGGAGGAAATAGAGGGGTAATATTGAACTGAATGAATGCTGAATATTTCAAGAGTAATTGGGGACCAGCTGGCAGATGACTGCCACCTGTCCTGATTTTGATGGAGCTATCCCACTGAAAAATCCCTAAAATATCCTTAGGGCTGGAGTAGCATGACTGCGTTTGTGCCAGGACATGATGTGGTGAGGCTAGTCTCACAGCATCAATAATAGAATGAGGTCTTCATGTATCAACAGGTCAAAGATGGCAAACAGGACTAAGTGGGAAAGATAAAATGGACCATTTGAGAAACAGAGAAGAAATATTATGCTAATGCAGAATTATACCAAGTTACCACAGAGTTACTATTCTTCCTAACCAAAGTATCACCAAAGAACGTTTCACACTAATCAATCTTTCCATCAATGTGCTGAACTGAACTGAATGAAAATGAAATATTTTCCATTAGAAGAAATCCAAAATAAGGTAGTGAAAACATTAAGAATTGTTGTAATGTTGCAGGAAATTCCAAGGATAAAAGAGTCCAAAAAACAACTGTGGAATTTCACATCTGTGTTGTGCCAGAGCTTCAGGCACTGTAATTCGGTGCATGTTAATTTACAACAGCTGAGGATCTGGCCCCTGATCTCCCTATCAAACTTTGCATTTCATATTTTCATTAAAGTGATACTCTGTGCTATGCTTTTAGGAATATGGTAGGTTCCTCCAATTTAAAATAAAAATTATGTGACTTTTGTAGCATAGACCCAGCAAAGTCTTAAGAGTAATGTTTGCAACATAAAGAACACTTTTTACCTTACAGTCTTCCAAAGTGTTCTGTACTGAGATTAGACTCGCTGGCTTTTCCAAAGATTTCAGCCTCTCGCCTTGTGCTTCCAGCCAGCTGCTCAGAGTTTGTGCTTTGTTTTCATTTTCAGTGACGATTTCCAAAATATGTTCCAATTCTTGTATCTGAAAATTACAGGATTAAAATATTTCATTTTAATTAAATTATATCAGATTGAAAATGTTTCGCCAATTTAAATTCTCTGTTTTGGTTGGAGTCCTTTGTAGGACTCAGGCAAGACAGGAATGTGTCCAACTGCCTATTCACAGTAAATAGCTCTTTCCCTATTTGGTTCTATATCTTACATCATAATTTCTCCATATTTGGGTATGCCAAAGTATTCCCTAACAGTCTAACAGAACACTATCATCTAGCTCTTCTGTAGAGTTTTTCATCAGTAGATCTAAAAGTGCTGTACAAAGGAGGTCAGTACCATTATCCCCATTTTACTGAGGGGGAAACTGAGTCACAGAGAGGGGAAGTGATGTGCTCAAGGTCACCCAGAAGGTCTGGTGGTAGAGCTGGGAACACAACCCAGGTCCAGTGTTCTATTTGCTAGGCCACACAGCCTCGCAACGCTGAGCCTGTTCCACAGATTATTTCTAGTTTCACCAGGGTGAAATAACTCTGATGCATTTATTTATATGTATTTTCTATAACATATAGTAAATACATAATAAAATAAAGAATAGTGATATGCACCCTGAGAGTGGTTTTCATCCATTGATCTTACAGTGCTTCTATAAGGAGAGCATATTCCATCATTCTCATTTTCCAGAGGGGGCAGAGAAGTTAAGTGACCTGCTCCCGATCACACAGCTGGGAACAGAACCCAGGGCTCCTGATTCCCAGGCCTGGGCCTCATCCACTAGACCACAGTTCTTCATAATAAATGAGTGTGGCTGGTGATATGCCAATCGGCCGGTTTAGCGATCCCAACATCATATGTTAAATGGAAATAGGCAGGGCAGGGGGAGGATATTTTAGCATCCTCCCTGTTTTCAATCATGTTCCATAATGTGGAGGAGGACTGGCCTCTTTTTAAACAGTATCATTGTCCCTGTGGCTTCTGAGTGGGTCTTGGCCATCTACCTGCCAGCGCAGGACTGTTTCTTACCATATACTGCCTACTATTTTCAATCTTAAATGTCTCAAGCCATGGGGTCCATATGGCTTTCCTTCAGCTCAACAGATCACCATTATGATGCCCCTGCCCCAATATTCATCTAAATTCTCCCGTTCTGAATTTCTTAATTATACCTCTTCTTACAGAGGTGTGATAACACTCACCTACTGTACCTTCCAGGAGTGTTATGTAACTGAGCACATGTGAAAGTACTTTGAGATCCCTGGGGGAAAGGTAGCATAGAAGCACAAAGGATTATAATACATGTAATCAACATTGGAAGGAAAAAAAAAAGATATAAAACCACGAAATAGGAGCAAACCTTTCTGTTCAGAGACCCTTGCAGCTTGTGCCACTGCAGGTTCATCTCACCAAGATGCTCTGCAAATTCTGTCCTTTCATAGCGCTTGCTTTCTACATCGCAAGTGCTGATCTGCAACAGCGACTGGTTAACAAAATCAACCATCCACTGTTTAAAGTTCATCTCCATCATGTATTCCTGAAAAACAGTTACGATGGCAATATTAATTTCATAAACTCCATTAACTGCTGATTTATAATGTAATTCTGTGGCATTCAGAGAAAACTTATTATTCTGATCCATAGTACAGTGCATTTCCTGAGAGATACATTCTCCATTGTCTAAATCAAAGGTGGCCTTAGTTCGCTGCTAACAGACGCACAGCATGGGCTAAGATAGGTCCCTGCTTTGTCTTTACTCACACAGATGGGTCTTTTCAGAGAAGACGATTCTGCCCAATAGTAAATACTAACTACAGCTTGGAAATGCCATTTATTTTCTTTGAAAGCAGGAAGATTTGGGCAAAAGAAAGCAGATTCTCTCTCTCTTAAATTGTAGTTGTTTATAATGAAGACACAGTCCTTTCACCAAACAGTACCATCCTGACTGGGGCCACTGGATGATATGGTAATACAGATACTAATATTTTGGAGCCTATGAGACGCATGTCTCCCTCAGGAAGAAAGCTAGAAATATCCTTAAGTTTATCTGGTTGGAAAATTCTGAAGAGCTATCTACAAGACAAGGCAGTGGTCAATTCTGTCGCACAGGGGTCCTAGGATATGAATGCTAGGAACATACTTTTAATTGTTAACCAGAACCAAGAAGCTGACCACAAAAATGCAAAGTGCTAAGAAGCACAGGATTAATCTTCAACAGTACACTAATGTTCCAAGCTGAGCTACTAAGTACTTAGCCCCCCTAAGGAACCTAGAAATAAATGGATATTCTATTCAATTCTATTCTGGCTCTTGTACTGCATCCATTACTGTGATACCTGAGCACCCTGTAAATGACTCGTTCTTCTGCTCGCATATTTACCTTATATTTCTGAAGAAGGTTTTTGACTTGGGATGCGTTACTTTGCAAATTTACAGTAGCCTCATCATCTTCTCTTTGTTGTTCCACATGGGTCAGCCATGTCATTATTTCTGTGATGGCCTCACGAGATGGAAGCTTTTCCATCTGAAGCTGGAAATCAAATATATAATGATTCTTCTGTACATAACTGGCTAGCAGTATTAAATCAGACCATCAAGGAGGAGAACATCTTTATCCCCAAAAGGCCTCACATAATGTAATTATCTAAGTATGAACTTGCAAGTAAACCCTGATACTCAAATTTAGGATATGATTCAAACTTAAAATAAGAAATTTGGACATCTCAGAAGTCTGGGATAAGATTATTATTGCCTCTTGAAACTAAGCTTTATATAAAATATGACATTGATGGGGACAGGCAAAGTTAGGTAGAAATACAGTAATAATTAAGCCTCAATACAACACTGAGGATGTTCCAAAAGTGAGTCAGATGGGCAATTGAGCCCTAAAGAAAAAAGTGCTTCCCCTGCCTTATGTAGTGCTTGACTGAATTCCATCAGTAACATTTTAAAATAATTCTGCACATAGCTTGGCTCAAACAAAGAAATGACAAGAGATTCCTTCCTTACCTGGTGAAGTTTTTCTTGGATGGTTGGGAACTGAGTGATCAGTTCTGCCCATTTTTGTTCAAACTGTGCCAAGGATGATCTAAGCACTGCAGCATCCATTTGTTTCACATGAAGAAGCTGGTTGCCAGTGCTTATGACAGATGACTTCAAGGATGATTTTTCATCTACTTCCTTAGAAAATGCCTGAAGTATACAGAGATTTAAAAATATAGATATATTTTTTAAACACGCAGACAGGGTCTCAATCACAGGAGGGACTGACTGGACGGGTTGCAATTCTGGTTGAACTGAAACCTGGTAAAACTCATCTCATTTGATGGAAACTTGAAACCTGCTGGGGCTCAGTAAACCCCAGAGGAACGTTGAGCCACGCAGACGTCAGCCAAGACCTTTCTTCTCTATCTTTCTGCAGGATCCTTTATCCCCAGTATGCTGCCACCTACAACCCCTTTCACTGAACAGGACCCCTATATTTGGTGCTTTATTCTCAGGTTGGATCTCCAGTGTCTTGAAAGACCTGCTCCTTCCTTTCCTGACCATTATTTGGAGGGGTTGGGGGGGAGAATAATCTGCTGGTCCCCTCTCACCTATCAGGATCTTCAGATCTTTGTCCCCTGTATTTGAGGTGCTGGTTGGTTCATATCCACCCATCCACAGAAATATCTTCAGCAGAGCTAAAACCCCCCAGTCTCTCTCACCCCCATTTAACAGCAGCAGCAGGACTGTGACATGCTGCCTCCCAGAGGAACCCCGGAGGCAGTGCAGTGCTATCCCACTTCATACTCAGGGCTATGCCCTGCTGGCAGATTCTGGCCACATTGCAATGTCATTGGGGGTGGGGAATTATTATCTAGCATCTAAACGCTGCAGAATTTTTTGACTTACAAACAAGCTGTCTATATTGTTTCTGACAGTATGTAGGTCTTGTGACACATTGAGAGACTGCTCCTTCCAAAAATTCATTCTCTTCTGAGCAGACTGCAACCATTCAATTAACGTGTCTGAGTCTCTGTTGTAGCTATAGAAACAAAACAAAGCAGGTTAGCGGACTAGAAATGACTCAATCCCTTAGTAGAGTCTATAACACATTTCTTTTCTCCTCTCAGAATTGTCCTTCCATCCACCTAAAGATGTATGCTGCTAGCACTTTATACAGGTTTATACAGGCCAGGATTCCCGCCCTCCACCTCAGACAGAATCACTGCAGTAGCACAGAACTGATATATGACAACTCTGTTCTGCTGAAAGCATACACATGTTGATTGGAGAAATAATCAACATATTTATAGCCTGTGAAACAGCCTCAGAGCTTCTGAGTCTCAAAAGGCTCTCTTCCTGTATTGACCGCACAACTCATATGGATCTCATATGGAGGCCTGGATCATCTGTGAAGAGGCAATGTCTTCACACTGGCCCAGACACCAGCCCCTGGTCTTTGACAGCACAACTCCAGTGGGTACCCTCCATGTGCAGATCAGGGGAGTGCAATCTGCACTTTAATTAACAATTTTGATATGCAAGTCAGAATAGAATCCAGCTCACTCTCCTCTAGAGATGTCGGCCTTGCAGTGCCAATAGGAATAAAGACGTTTTTATCATAAAGTAAGTAGATATGACTGACTACACACAGGGAACAGATCTATTCAGTAAGAAGATGACACTTTTTTAAATAGTCACTTTTTTGACCATAATCGGACTTTTGTTTTCCACAAACAGATGCACAAACTCTGTAGTTTAATTACATTGAGCTCATGATTCAGGAAATATGGGTATCGACGAATATGTGAGAAACCCCAAATAGCAGTGGCTAACCCTAATTCCCCCTTGACTAAAAACTTACCTGACCAAGAGTTTGAGTAATGTTTGAAGTCTGTGCAGCTCATGGCCAACTTTTTTGGTTAAGGACAACCACAGTTCTTCTAGTTTCCCAATTTGGTTTACTAATTCAGGACAGCTCACAACAGTCATCAATTTCTTCCCTTCCTTCACCATCTGGCAAAGTCTGGCATGTTTTTCATCAATGTTTCTTTTGGTTTGCTAGCAAAGTATAAGTATTTTGCACAACAACAACATATTTTAAAAGAGAAATATGGCTATTAAAACATGCATTTTATTCCCCCAACTGGCATTTATTTTATTTTCCGTTATGAAGAGCGGTAAGAATAATGGAGACACAAGTTATTTTTCATATTACCTTGTGATGTATCTTGACATGTCATGAAATAGCATGTCATGGCTCCACCACATGAAACATAATTATTGTGGCCCATTTGAGGCATCTCATAATACAAATTCAAATGATAATCTATGCCACCTGTGTTCATCATAGTTAGTTCATGATTTTGATGAAGTCATTCCTTCTCAGTGCCGAATAATCTCATATCCATTTGTTTACTTTGGATTATGGACTTCTATAAAGGCATTACACAAATATGCAGTCCGAAAACACTCCTTTTTACACAAAAAATACTCTTGGGTTGGTAAAAGGATTTATTTGCAATTAAATAGCCATGCACAAAATCAAGCAGTAGTGAAAAAAAAAAAACAAACAGAATGCAGGCAAACAGGGTCGAAGTTTATAAACTTGACTCACTATGGACACAAGCGTATGGGAGATCGAATACCGCTAATACAACATGCTCCCTGAAGAGTGCAAAAGCCAAGTGCTGGCACAAAAAACAATTAACCTCCACCACTGTTTTAGGTGGTATAATATGCAAATCTGGAACTATTCTGTTTTTAGTACATGCTGTGTTCAACCTAAAATCATTCCTTCTCCTGACAGAAATGAGTCCAAGAAACAAACAAGCCTCTTCAGTAAAGGTAGGTTAGTCTTCCACACTTTCAGCCTTAGCCCTCAGAAGACAACGGAAAGACTCCCCAGGAATGGGGATCAGCCCTAAGCATGTACCACTCAGTCTAAAGAGCACCAGCAGACAAACATATTAACGGATACATCATGTGTTTTAAACTCATTTATATTAACTGAAGAACTGTATCGTCCTAAGCACTTCTCTGATATTTGGAACAAATTATTAAATGTCTATCTGCCTTTCTCCAGAAAACTAACTTTATTTTCCTTGGAAAAGAAGAGAATTCAAGGTGATTTAACTGTACTTCCCAGAATTTTGGAAGAGATTGATAGAATTGATAGACTTTTCACTACAAAGAGCAGCTCAAATATTTGGAAACACTGGTCTGATTCTCACCTCACAAGGGTGAGAATTGAATGAGGCTCATAATCATTGTGTATCACTGGAGTATGTATTTGAATGCCAGCTTTTAGAGCAGCTGTAGGGACTCTCTTCGTAAATGAACTAATTGAAACTACCTCTTTCCCCGATACTTTTAAAAGGTATAAAAAGTTTTATTTTCATATGGAAATTTAAGTTTGGGCACAGACTACAGTTGCTACCTTGGCTAAAAGGGAGAAGGACCCTGTTTGGACGACATTAAGCATGTGCTAAGCAGATATTTCTAAAACAGTATTTTTGCCATATACAGTGTACCTTGATCCTACCAAAAAAAAGTGATTAAACAGAAATAAATAAAAATACCTGGAGAAGTGTAATCCTCTCCATTAATCTTTCTTCTGTCTCGTCTACCAAATTCACAGAAGGCACTGCAGAAGCAAGCGCCTCTAATTCTTTGTTGAAAGGTACATAGTCCTCATCAAATTCTGACCATTCCTAAAACACAAGGCATATGTTAATGTAGTGTACCTCTTGTTCTATGCTTGTGCTAAACATTGAAAATACTGATGCTTTAACACTTACATATTATTCTTAGTTCAACCAACAAAACAGAACGTCAAAACAAGAATATAGAGAGAACATATATTAAAGAGTAGCTTCTATGTGATCTGAAAACTGAGAATTTCAGTTAACACACAGGTGATTTCTCACTCAAAAACTATTTATGATTTTTTTAAAAAGAAACTTAGGTTTTTAAAACTTTTTTTCATTTTAATGTACTACCAGTATTTCTGTGCCACACAGGTCTTTATTCTCAGTCTGGGTGTTCAGAAAGTACCACAGGCATGTTATAGGAATTCACATTCATGCTGGAGAGAGGGACGGTGTTTAAATTCCAAATTTGAGGGGAAAGAGATGAATTGCTAAAACTGAATGTGAACAGTCAGTCACTGCCCTCAAACAGACATGGGTAGTAGGCAGCTGCTGGGCAGAGTATCTCTAGCATAGAAAGGGTTCCATTTTCCATACCAGGTTAATTCTAATCCATTACCTTTAATAAACTCTCCAAGTGTATGCCATATTGGGAAGCCTTTTGTTCCAGCGACCTGACGTCTTCCACCAGCTCAGTCCAGAATTTCTCTTTTTTTTGTAATGTAGCAGGAGCCACCTTCTTGGAATACGATTGCACGACAAGCATATGAGCAATGAGCTTGTGAAAAAAGCCCTGAAAAAACAACACTGTTACATGTTTCAAGCCTATTTTTCTGTTTTATAGCAAGTGCTCCATCAGATTCTTTGTATTACGTGAGGACATCTGTTGTGATTTTAATCATAAATAATAATGACACTTTGCATTCATTATATACTGTTTCATCCAAGGACTTCAAACACACCGGTGAACCAGGTAAATAATATTCACTATGCTACAGTGATGTTAACTGAAGTAAGGAGTGGTTAAGGGATGGATTGGGGCAGGACCTTTTATGGAATTGCAGGGCTGGGGAGCTCAACTAGTTTGTCACAAGTGCAGTCCCTGCACCCAATGAAACAGCAAATGCTCCTTCTCCATGATCCCAGGAGCTCAGCACTCAAATTGGACAGGGAGGCGCATAGAGGAAGAGGACAAAGCAGATCCAGAGCGTGCTGGTCACATTGACACACTGGGCTGCTCATAGGGAAAGCTCCATACCATCACCTGCTCATCCCAGTGGCTAAAAGCTATGGTCTAGCCCAGAGAGATTTGCCCAAAGTCACACAGAAAGTTGATAATTAGTATCAGAACGCAGGAGCCCCTATGTCCATATCCCTGCTCACTCCACTAGACTACACACTGTTCCTTAATTAACTTTACCACAGATTTAAAAAATAGTGGCTATAAAATAAAACATCTTCCGGACACTTTGATACATTCTGAGGTAGCTCGAACCAGGGATAAATGGATCAGCAAACCCAGACCCCTGTTCCAAAGAAGTCCCCAAAATTGTGAGATTCCATCCAGGAGCAACCATACTTGTTTTGCCAACTGGAGCAGAAAATGTTTTCAGTGCCGTCCCCTCCCCACTCACGTCCCAGTCCCCTGAGGTGACCAAACAACAACAACAACAAAACCCTTGGCAACAAACCAATCAGCAGAGTAGAAAAAAAAAAAAGCCCAGCAGCATGAAAATGGCCTCTTTATTTATTGTTTTTGAAACCATCCTATCTATCTCAGAATATTTACTGCATTGACTTCAAGTACCTCAGACTCTCTCTTATGCTAGGAGAAGTAGCAATAACTACTCAGCAACGATATTTGAGAAAAGTCAGTCACAGAACGTCATACTCTGCAACGATTTGAGCCGTGCTGCATGTGCTGTACCTTGTGATTTTCCAGGTGAGACTGTAAAGTAGCTCTACTTTTGGCTAGCTGCTTTGAGTCCTGAGCAAGCTTCTCTCGTCCAATGTCTACCAATTCTGCCAACCCACGAATCAAGCCTTCGTATTGGCTCTCGCTGATGAAAGGAGAGTTTAGTTCCATATACTTGGCTCTCAGAACCCCCCAGGTGTCATTCAGAACATCCTAGGAATTAAACAAAATTCAATGAGCTTATTTCTTGCAAGGTATAAACCAACATAGAGACCTGCGCGCACCATTTCTAGAGTATCATATCGTGCCAGATGGCCCTACACCTTTCACTGCTAAAGTGTCTTGTTTTGAAGAGTCAAATCTTGCAGGATAGAATGTTGATTGCTCTGTATTCTTACCTCTAATTTATACACTTCATGGATCAGAGCAACAGGTAATTGAAATCTCTCCCCATGATCTCTCAGTTTTGCTATTTGGGTCTCAAAGTTGTGTAGCTCCAACGTATATGAATCAGTTTTCTGAATAGAAGATATAATAAGGAATTAAGTGTAGTTTTGCTCCTTTAGGTTTTACACTATTATTATTAGTATTATGATAGCAGTTAAAGATCGGGACTTAATTGTGCTAGGCACTGTACAAACACACAGTGAAAGAGTCCCTACCCCAAAAGCTTACAATCTAAATAGACAAGACTGACAGGGGAAACAGAAGGAAAGTGACTTGCCCCAGGTCATACAGTCAGCCAGTAGCAGAGCAAGTAAAATAATCCAGATCTCCCAGTTCAGTATCCTCTGTACTGGGCCACGCAGTTATTTTTACTAAATCAGTAGTAGTCAAAATAAAAACACATCATCACCCTCTGAGGGTGCAGAATTTTGTTTTCCAGTGAACACAAGAGACCTAGTGTAGGGAGTTCTCTGAAATAAGGGAAGTTTTAGATTCGTATGATTTTCAGATTTAGCTGGATAGGTGACAGAACAACTCTGAGGGGTAGGCGGCTGTTGTATGTTCTGGAAAGGGCATGCAATCTGCCCTCAGTTTAACTATCTTGTCATCTTGTCTGTCCTTCCTTAGGGTCTTTTAAGCCCTTAACTAGGAGAAGGTAGGTTAATTGATTCATGTACCATACTACGAATGCTATGGCAATTGTTGCATTTGTTAACATCTGTTTATTAGGTATTCCTTATGTGAATACTTATATTGCTGGGGAGGTTTGAAATAAATATTAGTGTCCCCTCTCCCATAAGGGGAAGCTCAAGGGACATTCTAATTAAGGCTGTTACATATAAAGAGCTGTATTTTGTGCTTTTGTGTATCTTGTCTTGCTTCCTCTCTGCCCTAAATTGCCTGGTTGGGGTGACTTGCACCCCAAGGGAGTCAAAGAGTGAGTGAGCCCTGTGTTTCAACTAGTGCCAGGACTGCAATCAAGCCCTACTGTTGTATGGGGGTACAGTGTATATGTGCGTATGGGGTGTGGTCATTCGGCCTTCTCCCCCACATTTGCAGACCTGACAGCATGAGCCAGCCCTTAGAAAATATGAAATTGTTTCTCACATTTTAAAAACAAAACCACAGACACAAACCAGGCAATATTGTCCACTGCTAGATAATTTTGCCTTAACTTAGTATTTTGAGTTAATTACCTGAAGCTGTTCAGCAACATTATGCCCACGTATTGCATTCAAGGTTTGTTGCAGAGTAGATTTTTTCTCAATTAACTGATCATACAACATCCTGACTTCATTCTGTGAACAGATAATAACAGGAGCTAACTCAGAAGTGTACTCAATAACAAATGGCAGTGATAAATCTCATACAGTGAAAAGACACTTGAATGGTGATTCATCATGGCACTTTGATCACTCTGTTTTTTACATGCTCTGGGCTCGATGCAGGAATCACTGGGTGAAATTCTACAGTCTGTATTAATCATAGAAACATAGGGCTGCAAAGGACATTGAGATGTCATCTAGTCCAGCCCCTTGTGCTGAGACAGGATCAAGTAAACCTAGACCATCCCTGACAGGTGTTTGTCTAACCTGTTCTTAAAAACCTCCAAAGTATTCCAGTACTTATCTATCCTTATAGCTACTTTTTTTTTCTAATATCTAACCTAAATCTCCCTTGTTGCAGATTAACCCTGTTACTTCTTGTCCTACCTTTAGTGGACATGGAGAACAATTGTTCACTATCCTCTTTATAACAGCCGTTAACATATTTGAACACTTATCAGGTCTCTCCTGTCTTCTTTTCTCAAGACTAAACATGCCCAATTATTTTTAACCTTTCCTCATAGGCCAGATTTTCTAAACATTTTATCATTTGTGTTGCTCTGGACTCTCTCCAGGTTGTTCACATCTTTCTTGAAATGTGGTACCCAGAACTGGACACAGTACTCCAGCTGAGGCCTCACCACTGCTAAGTAAAACAAGACAATTACCTCTCATATTTTACATACGACACTCCTGTTAATACACCCCAGAATGATTTTTGCCTTTTTTACAACTGCACCACATTGTTGACGCATATTCAATTTGTGATCCACTATAACCCTCAGATCCTTTTCTGCAGTACTACTGCTTGACCAGCTATTCCCCATTTTATATTCAAGTTTTAGATTTTTCCTCTCTCAGTGAAGTACTTTGCACTTGTCTTTATTCAATTTATCTTGTTGATTTCAGACTAAATTCTCCAATTTTCTAAGGTCCTTTTGAATTCTAACCCTGCTTTTCAAAGTGCTTGCAACGCTTCCCAGTTTGGTGTCATCTGCACATTATATAAACATGCGCTCCACTCCATTATCCACGTCATTAATGAAAATATTGAATTGTACCAGACCCAAGGCAGACCTTCTGCAGAAAAGGACCTAGGGGTTACAGTGGATGAGAAGCTGGATATGAGTCAACAGTGTGCCCTTGTTGCCAAGAAGGCCAATGGTATTTTGGGATGTATATGTAGGGGCATTGCCAGTAGATCGAGGGACGTGATCATTCCCCTCTATTCAACATTGGTGAGGCCTCATCTGGAGTACTGTGTCCAGTTTTGGGCCCCACACTACAAGAAGGATGTCGAAAAATTGGAAAACGTCCAGCAGAGGGCAACAAAAATGATTAGGGGACTGGAACACATGACTTATGAGGAGAGGCTGAGGGAACTGGGATTGTTTAGTCTGCGGAAGAGAAGAATGAGGGGGGGATCTGATAGCTGCTTTCAACTACCTGAAAGGAGGTTCCAAAGAGGTTTCAGAGTAACAGCCGTGTTAGTCTGTATTCGCAAAAAGAAAAGGAGTACTTGTGGCACCTTAGAGACTAACCAATTTATTTGAGCATGAGCTTTCGTGAGCTACAGCTCACTTCATTGGATGCATACTGTGGAAACTGTAGAAGACATTATATACACAGAGACCATGAAACAATACCTCCTCCCACCCCACTCTCCTGCTGGTAATAGCTTATCTAAAGTGATAATCAAGTTGGGCCATTTCCAGCACAAATCCAGGTTTTCTCACCCTCCGCCCCCCCACCCCCCCCACACACACAAACTCACTCTCCTGCTGGTAATAGCCCATCCAAAGTGACCACTCTCTTTGAAATCTCTTTAAAATCTCTTTTAAAGAGAGTGGTCACTTTGGATGGGCTATTACCAGCAGGAGAGTGAGTTTGTGTGTGTGGGGGGGGTGGGGGGGCGGAGGGTGAGAAAACCTGGATTTGTGCTGGAAATGGCCCAACTTGATTATCACTTTAGATAAGCTATTACCAGCAGGAGAGTGGGGTGGGAGGAGGTATTGTTTCATGGTCTCTGTGTATATAATGTCTTCTGCAGTTTCCACAGTATGCATCCGATGAAGTGAGCTGTAGCTCACGAAAGCTCATGCTCAAATAAATTGGTTAGTCTCTAAGGTGCCACAAGTACTCCTTTTCTTGTTCCAAAGAGGATGGATCTAGACTGTTCTCAGTGGTAGCAGATGACAGAACAAGGAGTAATGGTCTCAAGTTACAGTGGGGGAGGTTTAGGTTGGATATCAGGAAAACCTTTTTCACTAGGAGGGTGGTGAAAGACTGGAATGTGTTACCTAGGGAGGTGGTGGAATCTCCTTCCTTAGATATTCTTAAGGTCAGGCTTGACAAAGCCCTGGCTAGGATGATTTTGTTGGGGATTGGTCCTGCTTTGAGCAGGGGGTTGGACTAGATGACCTCCTGAGTTCCCTTCCAACCCTGATATTCTATAATTCTATTATTCATGGGACCCCACTAGACATAGCCTGCCAGTTAGACAGAGAATAATTGATAACTACTCTTTGAGTATAGTCTTGCAACCAGTTTTGTTCCCATCTTATAGTAATTTCATTTAGACCACAATTCCCTAGTTTGCTTATGAGAATATCCTTTGGGGCTGTGTCAAAAGCCTTACTAAAATCAAGATATATCATGTCTACTGCTTCCCCCAATCCACAGCCCTGTCAGAGGAGGGAATCAGGTTGGTTTGGCATGATTTGTTCTTCACAAATCCATGGTGGGTATCACTTATGACCCTATTATCATCTAGATCCTTACAAATTGATTGTTTAATAATTTGTTCCAGTATCTTTCCAGGTATCAAAGTTAGGCTGTTTGGTCTTTAATTCCCCAAGTCTTCTTAGTTCCCCTTTTTTAAAGATAGGTAGTGTTTGCCCTTCTCCAGTCCTCTGGGACCTCACCCATCCTCCATGAGTATGCCCCAAAGGCCCTCTGTATGCCAACTGGCAAAGGGCACACCCAATACACTGTTGTCAGAATATATAGCCAAGCAGTGTCCTGTAAGATATCATATAAAAACAGGTGACTTGCTGGTCATTAATATTATTGCATGATTTATGTCCACTTAGTGTGTAAAGAATTATGTACGTGTGCTGGAAATATGTTACTAAACTATGTTCGGACCACACAATTTGAGTAGAGAGGATAAACAAGCTTGTCATTGACAAAGGAATGTTTTTTCACCTGTTTGCCTGTATCTCCAATGTAAATTGAGCTAAACTGAGCAAAATTTAGCAAAGTGAGGCCAGATACAATGGAAGTACATTTACATCTAAGGTAAACAAAGCGATTAAGCCAATCAAAAAAGCAAATTGACCAGAGGATGAGGAAGACAGTATAGCTTCTACACCCTAACAGGGTCTGGGTTTACTTTGCAAAAATACATTTCAGAGGTTTACTGGATTATATGAAGAGGAGAACAAAGGGAACAGCACCCTCTGACTGTGGAGATTGGATCCTCTGGCCTGGAGTGCTGGAAATGCTGATAACCTGATGTAAGTGAAAAAACTGACTAGGCAAAGACTGCAACTTCCTAAAATTAAGTTTTAGTCACTAGAAAGCATGTTTTGCTTTGTTTGTAACCTTATCTGTCTGTTTTTCTCTTTTTTGTTCTTTATTAATAAATTTCTTTTTAGTTTTACTATAAACCATCTCAGTGTCGTTATATTGAAGTATAGAGTGAGTGCTCAGATAACCTAACAGGCTGGTGCGTACACTGTCTCTTTGCAGGCAGAGAACTTAATAATTTCTGTGAGTGTCCAGTGAGAGGGACTGGACACTACAGAGAACTACTTGGGAACTGGGGTTCACTGATCATTACCTGCAAGGCAAAATTACGACTGGCAGTATTGAGGAGTTTGCTGGTGAATTGGACAAACTAGCGTGGTAGGGAGCTGACACATAGTCTAATCTCCAGCAAAGCTCACTCTTGCTTAGGTAGAGGGGTAACACAGTGGCTTTCGGTTCTGAGCTGCCCTAAGGAGAGAGTCATATTGAGTTCTTGAAGATAATAGCTAACAGTTCCGAGATTGCTTCAGCTAGTTTCTTAAGTAATCCTGGGTGAATTTTGTCAGGACCTGCCAACTTGAATACATCTAACTAATCTAAATATTCTTTAACCTGTTCTTTCCCTATCCAGATTGTGTTCCTTCCCCCTTTGTTGTTAATATTAACTGTGTGAAGCACCTGTTCACAATTAATCTTTTTAATGAAGACTGAAGCAAAATAGACATTAAACACCACATCTTTGTTGGTGTTATCCCCATTATAAGCTCTCCTTCCCCACTAAGTATCACAACTACACTTTCCTTTATCTTTCTCTTGCTCCTAATGTACTTATAGAACCTCTTCTTATTGCCTTTTATGTCCCTTGGTATGTGTAACTCATTTTGTGCCTCAGTCTCTCTCATTGCATTCCCACATGCTTGCACTCTTCTTTTCTACTCCTCCTTAGCAATTTGTCCATGTTTCCACTTGTTGTAGGATTCCTTTTTGATTTTCACGTCATTAAAGAGCTCCTGATGAAGCCATATTGGCCTCATGCACCTGATGAAGTGAGCTGTAGCTCACGAAAGCTTATGCTCAAATAAATTGGTTAGTCTCTAAGGTGCCACAAGTACTCCTTTTCTTTTGGCCTCTTACTGTTCTTCTTATGCAGGAGGTCAGATCAGAGGATCCTAATGGTTCCTCTTGGTCTTAAAAATCTATGAAATATAAAAGGAGGTATAAAATCACCTGCTCTGAAGAAAATGAGCCCTGTACAGCAGCCCTGTTGAGATCAATGATAGGCTTGCCTGAGCATGGACTGCAGGATTGGTTCCCCTTGTATTTTGATAGAAGATCAAATATTCCCCGTAGCAAGGGAAATTTAGCACTGAAGTATCTACATTTATACTCAAACAGTGGGGGCTCAGGAGCTTTGTTTGAACATAGTAAGCCAAATCCTGAGGCCTCTCCTTTGCTTTTGCTCACTTCAGTAGGAGTCTGCCTGAGTAAGGACAGATGAGGGCCATATATTTCATAACAAAAATCACAATACTGTTCCTAAGGAAACACAGCCTGTTGGGGTTAACATTCTATAGGATCTTGGATATTACCCAGAATAATTGCTTTTGTCTACTTGTCTTGGGTACTTTCAGAACATTTCACATCACTCTTTCTCCTCTTTCACAGAAGAATAAAGACTGTAATATTATGACACCCAGTACTGTGGCACATGTCAAGTATAGCAAGAAAAACACCAACAAAATACAGTGAGCATTACGAGCTAAATCTGTCTCCAGTGCATAGCCCATAGTGCCCTGGTGCCAGTGTAGACTGATCTGTGGAGAGCCGGGGAGAAGGAATCCTCCCCATAAGACAGTCCGCAGTGGCTAATGCTGCCTTCAGAACTGCAATAACTCCCACTGCTCCTGCACCCTCAGCTGACAGAAGCAAGCCTCCAGTCCCCTCCTATATGCATAGCCTACTGCATGTTAGTGTGCAACAAGTGTCTCTGCAGAGGAGTGACAACCCCCTGCATGAGGTCCCAGGTTGCTTCCCTCCTCGTTCTGCGTACACGTCTACTGTGATCAGAGCCCAATGCAACTATCACTGTGGGGAGTAGGGACATGACAGGATTTACTCCTAGATGTATCTGAAATCAGCAATAAGCTAGAAAAAGCTTTTTCTGGTGTTTTTTTTTTTTTAATGTCCATTGTATACTGCTCGTTTATAATCCAAAATGCATTAACACTAACACGTCTAATAGATACTGTGAAACAAGACATGCATTCAGCAGTACAGTACCTGATAATTACTACTGTGATCCAGCCCAGCTTTCATTGATTTGCTTCTAGAAGCAGCAGCAGTTTGAGTTAGTTCCAGCCGGGCTTGCAAGTTGTTAAAGCACTCGAAGAATACATCAGTACTTCCATCGGCACAAGTAATAGACTTTAAAAGATCATCCTTTTTATCTCTGATATCTGTGTGAAGTTTTTGCAGCTCTAGAGAGAGAGTCTAAAGGATTGAAAAAAAGAGAAGGCTAGTGAAAATGGTCCTTGTTAGAGGAAGATTCAACTTTTAAAAACACCAGCAGGACTCAGGTCGCTACTTTTACTCAAATATAATGGGCCTGATTCGCCTTCTCCGTGTAAATCCACTGACTTTGTGGAGTTACTCCTGATTTACACCAGTGTAAGTGAGAGAGGAGACCTACCTATTTCACTGTAACAGGAACCCATTGACGCCCATCCATCTATGCTTTGGTGCGCTTACCTCACACAGTCCCTGCTGCACAGCAGCCTCTTCACTGGAGAGCACGCAGGTGTTTAACATCTCTTCCATGTTGTTCAAACACTGACTGATCGCCAAAAGCAGCTCAAAGAGCTTTCTGTCCAAATTTAAGGACGCTTCCCCGGCCCCATTTTCCTGGATGAAGACAAGTTATAGCATTTTTCAGAGCTTCCAACCAAGTCAGAGATGATACTGAGCAAGAACACTGACTAAAGAAATGTGTGTAAAACAGTGAAATATTATCCAACTCATGCTATTAGTAATAAACAGAGGTAGTAAAATACTGAATGGCTAATTTGGAAACAGTCCTCACCCTAACCTTCTATTTTGTACCCATGCAATATTGCAGACTCAACCGAAGTCAGTAACATGACCCGTTATCTACTGTTGCAATTTTGATGTGCAAATTACATCACTTGTGCCAGCAAATGTTTGCATCAGGGCAATAGCTAATGTTGGGGTTGAAAAATGAGAAGCTGCTTCTCAAAATCCAGACCTGATTCCGCAGTGCATTAAGAACCTGACCAAAGCCCGCCTCTATAATACACTCAGTTTTGGGGAACATGGTTACTGACTAGCTGTGCTTCATTGTGCTAAAGCTATGTCTAGCTTTCTAGAAGTCCTTGTTGTTAGGATATAGATATTCAGGCCTGTCTGTAAAGGCCTATACTCTAAGAATTTAGGTGTATTCTTATCACTTGGCTAGTTATAGAGGTACAAAAGAAAGAATCAAAATCACTGTCTGCCGGTGTAAGGGCCTTCTCTTACTGTGACAGTTTGTGGCCCTGTGCTTAGGCTAAGGCCTTTGGCTAAGCAGCAGAGGCAGACATAAGCTGGGAAGCGAACGGTCACATCCTCACATTCCAAACTAGTCACATTGAAATAAGGTGCTATTCGGCTGTTAGGAATACAATCCTGTCCTGATAGTGCCTATCACCTCCAGAGAAAGGGAAGTGCCTAGAAAATGTAAAAGGAAACTTAGTTTGATAGCATCCCATCTGGCAAGAACTCACTTATCAATAGCTGGGATGTGGAATCCTCACTTCTGTATTGTTTTGTCATTATAGTTCTCACTTTGCTGTTGTTTGTCTCTATAATCTCTGTCTGGTTCTGTGATTGTTTCTGTCTGCTGTATAATTAATTTTGCTGGGTGTAAACTAATTAAGATGGTGGGATATAATTGGGTACATAATCATGTTACAATACATTAGGATTGGTTAGTTAAATTTCAGGAAAATGATTGGTTAAGGTATAGCAAAGCAGAACTCAAGTTTTACTATATAGTCTGCAGTCAATCAGGAAGTAGGTGGGTGAGGGTGGGCATGCGGGTGAGGGAAATGGGAACAGGGAATGGGGGTAAGAAAATTGGAATCATGTTTTGCTAAAGGGGGAAATGGGAACAGGGAATGGGAGTAAGGAAGTTGGAATCATGTTTGGCTAAGGGCAGGAATGGGAACAGGGACACAGGTGTAAGGCTCTGTGGTGTCAGAGCTGGGAAGGAGGACACTAAGGAAGGAAACTGGAATCATGCTTGCTGGAAGTTCACCCCAATAAACATCGAATTGTTTGCACCTTTGGACTTTGGGTATTGTTGCTCTCTGTTCATGCGAGAAGGACCAGGGAAGTAAGTGGGTGAAGAGATAAGCCCCCTAACACTTGTCATTTTTGGAATAACAGAGCACGTGATTTGTACCTGTGTCTGCACAACATTTGCTTCTTGGCTTAGATCTCCAAGCAGCATGGTGTAGGTTTTCAGTTCCTCAACAGTTGGGGTTCTAATGCTACATACAGCACCTCTCGGCAGAATATTCAGTTTTGTTGTAATCTAACGTTTGGAAAAGCAAATTACAGTTAGATTAATGATTCAGATTAAAAATGGAACCATACTGCTACATAATATTCTTTTTAAAACAAAAAATTAAAATAACACCATCTGGATCCTATGGGTCACATTTTCACTAACAGGAAGGAAGCTCACCTGCAAAAAGGTTTTCATACCTGTTGCATCCACAAAAACCTATTTATATGCACGCAAAGGTGCCACTTCGGCCTCTGGCTGAAAACATAGCCCTGTGAGTTTCAGTCTTTCAAAACTACAGGCTGCAGTCCTCAGTAAGGTAACCCCCCTGTTTACTTCTGTTTGAGTTCTCCCTGAGTGAGGACTGCATGTCCCAGTCCTTCACCACTCATGACCCTCCTTGAGTAACTGATATTGTCCCATGTAATGGAATCATTTCTGAGAACACAAAATATCAGCCTGTTTGTAGTTACTAATTTTTTTTTAATATCAACGAACAAAACTAACAAAAGTACAAGTTATTCATGTTCTCACACAGTAAAAACCTGCAAAGTCATACTAATAATCTTCAGTCCCTACAGCCCAAACTTTGGCTTTGACATACACCATGTACGTCCTCATAGAGGACAATCGAGTCCCGCAATGGTGAATGTCAGGACAGAATTTGTCCCTGAGATCAATGTTTGCATCTGCAAGAACTGGGCTTTAATCTCTATCTAGGCTAGGAGTTGGGCACCTAACTCCCCTAGGCTTCTTTAAAAATCCCAGCTGAAATAAAAAAAGACAGCATCAGGCCTAACCATGTAATACAAAAATTCATCTAGATGGCCTCTATGCTACTTATTACACTCACCACTGCAGTGACACCATCTAACAAAAATTTAAAGGAAAGCACTAATGACTACTCATAATGGCTTTCAAGGATGAGCGAGAGAAACAGTAATACTAAAAATGCCTGGTAACGATACCCCTGACTACTATAAATCACGATTTCAATTGGACAGCTATGACACTGTTTTCAATTATTTAATGATGTTAAGAGAGACAATATGACGATACAGAAAGCGAAATGTATTCATTTATGCCTTTGCGTATCTGAGTAAGGAGCACATATTAGAGGTAATAATTATTTTGTCTTGGAAGGAACATAAACGAACCTGAGGGTCAGCAAGCTGACACAGAGGAGACTTCATCGTAGAAAACAGCTCTTGTTGTAAATATTGCCACTTATCACCAGTCTGGTCCTTTAAAAATGGACCAGCAAAGTCACTCCTTGGAATAGGTACGTTACTGCTGTGTTCGGGGAACATGATCATAAGAACAAGGAAAGATTAGCATATCAATAGACTGTTACAACTGTGTGTATAGAATTATCTCCCTTAACCTACCCTCCTTCCCCACATATACCCACAGTAAAACCAACAGAATGTGTGAATTTAGCCTCACCCTTAATCACATTTTTTTTTTGCCACTCCCTTTCCTCCCACTTTTGTTTTGCTTGTTATCCACTTAGGCTATAATCCTGTGAAGATTTACATACATGCTTAACTTTATGCATTGTGAACACTCCCACTGCCTTCAATGATTTCTTGAATTCAGTGAGATGACTCCAGCATGTAAATTTAAGCTTCTACTCATATCCTTGCAGGACAGGGGCCTTAAACTGTCAGCTCGTTGGGGGTAGGGTCCGTACCTCCACATGCCTGTATAGTACTTAGCATACAGTTGGCACAACAGAAATAATAACTAATAAGAATAATCTTCCTTCAAGCTTTCCCTTTCATTCAGTACTAGCTTATCACCAAATGTTGTGTTAAAGAGGTGAAATAAAAGATAGTGGGTTTTTAAACAATACTATTATGATAGAGAAAAGCCTTCAGTGCATATTTATACTCAGTGGCTGTCAGGCGATGTATTATTTGTAATTACCATCAGCATAATCTTCTAAGCAGCACCACAGACATTTAAAAGCATGGGAATGATGTAGCATACAGTGTTGGGGCAGAATGAAATGCAGCACAGCAGAAGGCTGAAGCTGTGTCTGCACTTACAGTGGCAGGTACAGGACAGGCACGACATGTGTAGCTACATGCTGCAGTGAAAGGCTCCGGCAGTGGGGAGGGCTCTGACATGAGTCTTTCCCCTCTGCCTGAGCTTTTGCCTGCTGCCAGAGACTTTCACTGCAGCAGGGAAAGGCCCCGGCAGGGGAGGCAGCAGGACACTACCCTGCTAAAAATAACAGGGTAGACAAGGAAGGCACTGTTTGGGTGGGTAGAGAGCTGTGTAGGGTAGATACCTAGGGGGTCAGGCGTGCCTCACTCTCTGTGCTTCTATTTATACCCATGCTAGCGGGGTGTGCAGTGTCTGTACTCTACACACTGCCTAAAAGTAGATGTATCTTAAGGCAACAGGATACATAACTATAGTTGATAAGTGCATACATTGTAAAACTTTGACACACATTTGGAATTAATTAATTGTAAAGCATCAATAACATGCCTGTAGGGCAAGTTTCTTCCAACTCAACTCAGTTAGAAGTTGGCTTATACCCTGACGTACGAGGGATTATATCACTTCCCAAACTCCCTTTTTTAAAATCCTTACTATTCTAACTCTGGATGTTCTCATTATCCATATAAATGTCCAGTCCTTTTTTGAATATTTTGAATACTCTTGGCCTCGGTGATAACCACAGGCTAATTGTACACTATGTGTGAAAACTTCTTACCTTCTACTAGTTTTAAATTTGCTGCTTTTTACTGTCACTGAATGTCCCCTTGTTTTTGTATTGTGAAATAAGGAGAATAGAGGTGCCTGATCTACCTCTGTATATAAGTTTTGTTGTCATGCCTACCATAGCTTATGACACACAATAATAATAATTATTAATTATATTACCATAGCATATAGGAGGCCTAGTCATGGACCCGGATCCTATCTTGGTAGGTACTGTACAAACACACTTGAGTTATGTAGCAATTTCAGGGGATACTACAGTGTGAATTGGATCTCCACTAAACTGCACAGCTTTTGACAGATTTTTTCCTTCTGTAATTTTTTGTTTTTTTTTTGGCAACACACCCCTGTGTGAGAACCTCCTGTGCCTCAGCAATCCTGCAGACCATATGGTGTTTGGAAGACATGCTCAGTGACTAATTTTTCTATTTTGTACCTTGAATCTAACTTCTGAGTAGTGCTGTCATCAAAGTGTGGCTGCATTTTTTCTACATAAAATTTGATGAAGTCGACAAGATTATTTTGCTCAGTCAGTTTTAACGGCAGATTCTGGAAATAAGGAATAACATGAATGATAAAGTAAAGTGTGTAAACCATGTTCTTCTCAAAGGATGGTCTTGGTTGCTCATTTAACAAAAATAAATAAAAATAATTACAGCTACCAAAACAAAAAGCAACTGATTATATACATGTGAACTACACATAACTTTATCAAATACATAACTTTTCTTAGATGATATAACATTATGGAATTGTTTTTAACCTATGTTGAGATCTAAAAGCTAATAATAAAACCACAGAAATGTAGGGCTGGAAGACATTTCAAAAGGTCTTCTAGTTCAGCCCCCCCATGCTAAAGTGGGATTAAGTATATGTAGGCCATCCCTCACAGGTGTTTGTCGAACCCTGTTCTTAAAAACCTTCAATAATGGGATTCCACAACCTCTCTAGTTGCCTTCACTGATGGCTATCACATCACGGCAGGAGAACAGAGCATACTGTGAAATAATGGACCATATCTTTCCATTCTTATTCTGGCAAAACTCCCATTGAATTCAATGAGACTTTTGCTTGAGTATGAACCACTAGATTTAACCGTGTGTCTTTTAATTAGAAGAGGGAGTTGAATTAGAAATTCAGCAACTCCAGTCTCCAGTCTGGATTGTTTACTTGAGTAATCTTCAAAGAGAGAAGGCACAAAAAGGAAAAAGCTGATTTTCAAACAGCAGAATCTACAGTGTTACTTACAGAACCGAGAACTTGAGCTCATATTTTTAATCTGCTAACAGTAACCTTAAAAGCCACTATAGGCTAGATTGTGGGTAAAATTTTCAAAAGCACCTCAATTACACTGGAGCCTCAAGTCCCATTTTCAAAAGTGACTTAGGTATTTATTGCCAGATTTTCAAAGATATTTAAGTGTTTAAGGTGCAGAAAGGTGCCTAGTGGTATTTTCAGAAGTTCCTGAACAGGTTCATCACGTGTTTAGGTGCTTTAGAAAATCCCACTACATGCCTATATGCATCTTTAGACACCTAAATAATTTTGAAAATACGGCCCTTAGAAACCGAAGTCCCACTCACTTTCGATTAGAGTTAGGCTCCTAAGTGCCCAAGACACTTTTGACAAGTTTTTCCCATGCCTCTAGGCACAGCCATGATCAAGGTGTGCAGCGTAAGCTGCCCCGCTCCAGGAGTGCCCTTCGGAGGTATGCACCTCAGACACACCCCTCAAGGCTTTGTCCACACACAAAAGCTGCATTGGTTTAGTTAAATCAGTGCTGCTTTGTGTGATGACTCTTTTACATCAGTTTAGGCCTGTTAAGTAACACTCACTGTTCCCGCCCCCCAGCTCCAGGGGGGTAGTAGTTTGCTGCTAGCATTTACCAGGAGCAAACTACATCACCTCCCTCTCACAAGCTCAGCTGCACTGGTCAGGGTGTTGGGGGTGGAGCCAAGGCTCTGCCCATTCCCTGCCCCCACTCCCCTACTCCTGGCAGTGCCTGCTTACTCCCATGTGCCCAGACCCAAGGCAGGGTAACCCCCACAGAAATGCAGGGAGAGCTCTCCCTCCCTGTGGAGGTGTATAATCCAAGTCACGGTCTAGCCCTCGGAGTCAAGCATATCTGAACAAAGCAGATAATAGACAACTGCTCTTTGTATTTATGGGATGAGCAGCAGGATTACCTGATGCTGCTGCAAACCATTATGGTTGCTGAAAGGTGGCACATCAGTGGTAACAAGGTTGGATACTTTGGAGCTGCCAGGCTGAAGAAGTTCTGAAGGGATCCTTTCACTGTTGTTGAGCTATAAAGTGAGACAGTGTTTTGTGAAAGCTCTCAGAAGTCAAAAAGTGGCAAAACATATGTGTGTAATTTAGGGAAGAGATGTTATCATGACAGGCTCTGAAAAATACACTGGGGATGAACCAGGGATGATCTCTCAGAAGGATGGGACAAGGCTATTAGTTTAGCCTTGCTGCAAAGATATTTGTGCTGTTTCACCTGGGGAGAGCTTGAATTTATTCTCATCTTCCAGTAAAGTCCTTTCTTTCATTAGTTCACCTCCCCATACTGTTGGTAGCAGAATTATAGGAAAGTACGGTTTTGGAAGTTTCATTGACACCAACTCTTAACACTTTTGCCTGAATGAACTATGGTGAGGTGCAATTTATGCATGTAAAACTAGCTTCCAATTTCCACATGGTTCATATGGTCTGGAAGTTGTGTAGATTTTCTGCCTGGTGATACTTGTAGAGGAATGTTGGTATTCAACAGGAGAGTTTAGCACCACCAGTCCCTTCCCTGGCTACCACTACTCACCTTTCAGACAGCTCTGTTCCAGGGTAGGTGAGCCTGCAGCTGTCTTTGCCAATGCACCCACCCCTAGCAGACTTTCTTGAAGCCACCATAAAAAGATGGGGTGGGGAACTAGCCCCACAGCTGTAACTGACTGCCAATAAATGAGTCAATCTAAGCAGAGATATTCAGAGAGATACTCAGATGAGTACTGAATAGGCACAGAGAACAACCTATTCCTTCATCGATGTTGGAGATCCTCTAGTGGAAGACACAGGTGGGGCAGTGTGGGAAAGCTTGCATTGTCACTGCCCTTGCTATTCCTGTTCTCTGAAGAGAGGGCTACAGTCTTGGAATTGTCCTCTTGGAACCTTTCACCACCAGGATCTCTATTATACATAACATTTTTTTAAAAATCTTAAAATATTTTTTTCATTCTCTCTCATTTTGGCTCATAAAACCTTGACCTCAGACACTGTGCTCTTTAAGCAAAACGAAATCATTCAGAGAACCACTAAAACCATTACAAGCAGCAAGCTGCGCATAATTATACAGCACTGTGAACTAAAATGACAGTGACAGACATGCACATTCATTTGCATCCATCCCTTAATTTCACAATGTCTCTTATAACTAGTCCTCTGAAGCCCTCACCTATTACAGCACAATGTCTCACTCACAGGACTTCGACTAGTATTCAGGCTTTTTACCTGTTCTTCACTGTATTTGTCCTGAAGCATCACCTGGACTTTTTCCAAATTGCACTTCACATCCTTGAGCTTCAAGGAAAGGGCCTCTGCTTCTTTCTGAGGGCCTGCACTATCTCCTTGCTGCCTATCTCTGCAATCTTCCAATAAAGAAGCAACCTTTTGTTCAATCTCTGATAACATAACCTAGGAAATAGAGCAGTTAATTATTCATCTTTACCAGCACAACTGCCTAATACTCTAGTCACTGTTCACACTTCAGCTGTTTGCTTCCGGGAGCTGCTTGAGGTAAATGCTGCACCCCTGACCCCCTCCCACGCCTCAACCCCCTGCTCCAGCCCTGCTCCTGCTCTCTGAACCCCTCGGTCCCAGCCCGAAGCACCCTCCTGCACTCCAAACCCCTCATCCCCAGCCCCACACCAGAGCCCGCCCTCCCAGCCAGAGACCTCACCCCCCACCCCCACGCCCCAATCCCCTACCCCAGCCCTTATCCCCTCCCACCCTCTGAACCCTTCGGTCCCAGCCCATCATGAAATATTTGTTCGCCACAAAGGTACTGACAGACTGTAATCAGGTCACCCCTTAACAGTCTCTTTGGCAAACTAAATAGATTGAGCTCCTTGAGTCCTTCTCTATCAGGCATGTTTTTTAATCCTTTAATCATTTTGTGGCTCTTCCCTAAACCTTCTCTAATTTTTCCATCCTCCTTTTTTAATTGTAGACATCAGAACTGGACACAGTATTCCAGTAGCAGCCATACCAGTGTAAAAATAGAGGTAATATAACCTCCCTATTCCTATGCGAGATTCCCATTTATGCATCCAAGGACTGCCACTAGCCTTTCTGGCCACAGCATCTCAGTGGAAGTTCGTGTTCAGCTGATTATCCACCATGATCCATAAGTCTTGTAAGTGACTTGGCAGTCAGTGAGTGAGGAAAGGAAAATGCTCTGGCTATATTAATACAGTACAGCATTTTTTACTTTTCTTTTTTAAACTTTTAATTATATCCATTTGCAAAGCCAGAGATATTCCAGGAGTTCAATTCATGTTATGAGACTAATACTTAGAAAAATACAAAATCTGTTTATTAACTAATATATAAAGAGGCATGTTTTAAAAAGGAAGCCATTTCAAAATGTAGTTTTTAACCATCTACAGAAGCAGAACAGGATACCGTTAGGGCCAAATTTTGACTTCAGGGTTTATACGGAAGAAGTCCAAAATGTCACGGCTAGGTAAAGAACCATACTTGTGGAGATCATGGTCCACAAATCCTCTTACCCTTTGACCTATAGGTGCAGGCTCTCCATTCCAACAGTGATAGTAAGAGCATAGTTACAATGACACAGTCATCAAGATTGATTTGCTTTGACTGCATATCTGAGCTTGCAGCTGCTATGTGCTACTCCCCCTTGTGCTACGAGGCCTTGCTGAGACCAGGAAAAATGTTGCTTTTTGAGTTCCAACTGTCAAATTTGAGCTAAATATTAAACTCTGACTATATTGGTATTAAATAGGGTTTATAGTGGAGTCAAACTAGTTTTCCTAGTTTATATAAGGCCCTGGTATGAACCCTGAGTGAATAGGCCTGTAGTCATTTGTAGTAGTGGAATCAGGCCCAGTACATAAATTAGCTGAGAACATTCTCATTGATTTAAAATGGGCATCTTTGTATTAGGCCATTGTGTTCCCCAAAGCTTGTCATTGCTGCAGATAGTGACAGAGTGAAAAGATCCACACTATCTCTGTGAAAAGGAATGAGCTGTAGCTACAGTAGCATGCACAAATATAAACCTGTCCAGTTGCAGTGTTGAACATCTAGGTTCCATCTAGGAAGACCAGATAGCAATCGTGAAAAAACGGGACAGGAGGCAGGGGGTAATAGGCACCTATATAACACAAAGCCCCAAATACCGGGACTGATCTTATAAATCGGAACATCTGGTCACTCTAGCTCCATCTAATCCTGCAAAGACTTATGCAAGGGAATAATTTTATGTACACTGTCTTCACATTGACTTCAATTGGACTATTCTTACTGCAAGAGTAAATCTCACCCTTAAGTCTGCAGGATTGGGCCCCAGAGTGCAAAACAAAAATTTACATTTTAGGAAGAAATTTTAGAGCACTTTTACCTGAAAAGCCTACACTAGAATAAAATGGAAATGTCAAATGGTTAGCAAATTCCCTATTCAGTAAACAAGCTTTTATCGTGACTGAGGTCACTGTCTCATTAAAAAAAAAAAAACAACCTGCCTTTTTTTAGTGAATTTAAACCGGTGAACTTTTTATACACATTATACACATTGGGGTGGAGATAGCTCAGTGGTTTGAACATTGGCCTCCTAAACCCAGGGTTGTGAGCTCAATCCTTGAGGGGATCATTTAGGGATCTGGGGCAAAAATAAGGGACGGTACTTGGTCCTGCTGTGAAGTCAGGGGACTGGACTCGATGACCTTTCAAGGTCCCTTCCAGCTCTATGAGATAGGTATATCTCCATATTAATTAATAAAACTATGCAAACCAAAATGATCTGTGTAAATTACAGTAAATCTTTCTTTACAAAACACAAATTTGTTATGCTGTAAATCCTATCTAAGATCTCAGATACTAAAATATACAGACAAGGAAACTGAATGTGTACAATATGGTTTAAAAAAAGGTAATTGGAAAAAAGCAGCTAAAATCAAAACCAAGTGGTTCCTCTTCACTACAGTGTACGGCAGAGTACGCAGGAACAGGAGCTGAAGCAGTAATTGTAGCTTTTATGCAAACACACCTATTGGGGGAAGGGTGATTGGTTTAGCTGGCAGCAGTGAACTTTGACCACTTAATCTTACCTGGCAATCAGCAAGCTGCTGTTCCACCATCTGCTGCATTTCAGGGCTCTGAGTTTCTGACTCCAGGGACACTTTAGTTTTGTCTAGCCACAGCTCCAGCTCAGCAACCTGTATCTGGCAGACATGGAGGATCTTTTCAGGCTCAGGCCTATTGCTATCCACTGTTTCCTTTGATTCTCCTGGTTTGTTCTGAAAGCACTGGCAAGTGTTTGTGTCAGAAGAAGGCGTGTCACCCTGAAGCAAAGGACATTCAAACACAGAAAATCTATCAGCGGAAAATGTTTAACTTTGGTATACCAAGAGCTATGAACCTGCACTGGCAGTCACCTTATTCCCAGGTTAAAACAGAAAGAAAAACCCCAACAACTACGCTGAATGATCATATGATCTGGTGCAAAAGGTTTCCAAGCAGCCAATTTGCATTTACACAGGTATATCTGAGCACACAGGAAGAACAATGACTCATGGTTCATTAACTAGCTATCCCAGAGGATAGGTATTTTTCTGTGAGTTCAATGCAAAGTGTTGTATTCTAAGGCACACAGAGCATGCAGCTGGGAAATACTTATGTGCTACTTTCAGGAGTTCAGTTCCAAATAAACTTTAAAAGCATTCTTTATTTAGGATGTAGGCTATACAGAAAACATTGTAGAGTCTTAACTCAAACCCACCCTTGAATAACATTTCTCTTTTATTTATCTTCACCCTAGGAGCAGCCTTTAACATTCCGTGATAAACACAATTTTCTTAAGTTTTGGACAAGCAGGCAAATTTTCAAAAATGCATATGCAGGTCGGGGTTGTGCACACACAGGCATAGACATGCATGTGCAAATCTCTAATTTTCATTTGCGAATCGAGTGCGTAAGGCAAGTGTGTGCAAAAATACATACATACATCTGACAATTAGGTCCCTAATATGGTAGTGCAGGGGTCGGCAACCTATGGCACGTGTGCCAAAGACAAGCACGCAAGCCGATTTTTAATGGCACGCTGCTGCCTGCCAGGTCCCAGCCGCCGGCCCCGCTCAGCCCGCTGCTGAACCCAGGCTGGCAGCGGGCTGAGCTGGACTGGGACCCTGGCGGGCAGCAGCGTACCATTAAAAATCCTACCCGCCCCGGCCCGCTCTTCTCCGCACCCCCTGCGGTGGCAGGGTGAAAAAGCTTGGTCCTGTCGGCTGCTGCTGCAGGGCAGGCAAGTTCCCCCTCCCCCGCCTCTTCCCCCAGCCCTGGGTTCCTGCCCCTCCTCCTCTCCCTCCCTGCCACCGATCAGCTGATGGCCCTTGACAGGGAGGGGGAGAAGCGGAGCTGCTCCCTGCTCGGGGAGGAGGCGGAGACAAGGTGGGGACACGGCGTTGGGGAAGGGAGTTGGAATCAGGGCTTATCTCCTCCAGCCCTCTGCCGTGAGCTGCTCTAGGCAGGTGGCTGGGAGCACCCCCATGAGCCTAGCCCACATCCCCAGCCCCCTGCCCCCCCCACACTCCCAGCCCTCTGCCCTGACCCCTGCACCCCCCCGCCTTCTGTCCTGACTCCAGCACCCCCCTCACACCCAGCCCCCCCACAACCCCAGCCCTGACTCCAGCACCCCCCCACATACCCAGCCCCCTACACCCCATGCCCTGAGTCCTGCACCCTCCTCACATATTCCCAGCCCCCTGCCCTGACTTCTGCACCCCCCGCACATACCCAGCCTCTGCCCTGACCCCTGCACCCCCACACACACCCAGCCCTCTGCCCTGACCCGTACACCCCGCCACACACCCCAGCCCTCTGCCCTGACCCCTGCACCCCCCCCACACTCCCAGCTCCCTGCCCTGACTCCTGCACCCCCCACACATACCCAGACACCCCCACACCCCATTCCCTGACTCTTGCACCCCCCACATTCCCACCCTCACCCCTCGCACCAAACGGGAGCTGCCCATGTAAGCACTCCACACCCAAACCTCCTGCCCCAACCCTGAGTCCCCTCCCTCATTCTAGCTCCTGGCCAGACCCTGCACCCCAACCCCCAGCCTGCTCCTTCACCCCCAGACCTGTGCTCAGTGCACCCCTACCCTCAGCTCAGTGCAGAGAAAGAAGAAGAGAATCGGCTAGAACCAGGGAGAAGGTAGGTACCCACTCTATGTGGACAGGGCCGGGACTCCAAACCGGCAGCGGGCTGAGCGGGGCCGGCAGCCGGGACCCTGGCTGGCAGGAGCCAGCAGATGGAACCCCAGACCGGCAGCGGGCTGAGTGGCAGCGGGCTGAGCCGCTCAGTCCACTGCCAGTTTGGGGTCCCGGCCACTGACCCCAGTCAGCCCACTGCCGGTCTGGGGTTCTGGCTGCAGGCCCCTTGCCAGCCGGGGTCCTGGCCGCAGGCCCCGCTCAGCCTGCTGCTGGCCTAGGTGAATGGAACCCCAGGCTGGCAGCGGGCTGAGCGGGCTGGCGGTGTAAGATCAGCATTTTAATTTAATTTTAAATGAAGCTTCTTAAACATTTTGAAAACGTTGTTTACTTTGCCTACGACAATAGTTTAGTTATATAATATATAGACTTATAGAGAGAGACCTTCTAAAAAACGTTAAAATGTATTACTGGCACACAAAACCTTAAATTAAAGTGAATAAATGAAGACTCGGCACACCCCTTCTGAAAGGTTGCCAACCCCTGTGGTAGTGGAACGATAACTGTTTGGTCAGACACACCAACAGCAATAGTATGGTATTCACTGGCTTTTGAGATGTGAGTTGGTGGATGACAAGACAGGAAAAGTACATTGTTTTAAATATTACACTGTGTTACTTCATTAAATAAGTAAACATCACTTTTGTTGCTTGTCTCTTAAGTGGTCTGGAACATGGCCATTATGAATTAAACACATAAAAGCAAAGAAATCCTAATTTAACACTACACATCCAGGAACTGATTAAATATATACGTGTGCAAGTGTGCTTGCGTGTGTGCGCGTGCCTACACACGTGTGGGAGTGGTATTAGGAAGTGTCAGCTGGGATTTTCAGCTTTCGGTCTAGATATATTTGTTGTTATGAGTTCACTCACTCAAATACACATGGAGGGGTGAAAGCAGATTCATAGAATCATAGAATAGATTCATTTCTTTTTGGTTTTTAGACTAGGATTTTTTTTAATGTATCTTTTAATACAGGTCTTAAAACTGTACTTGTTGGAAAATGGGATTTCTATCCAGTGGGAAACATTGACATTTTCAAATTTGTTTACACTCTGAATCAGAACAAAATTTAAAAATTTACCATGGAATAGAAATTCCAAAAACATTTCAATTCAGACAGTGAAATGTTTCATTTTGATAGTGTCAAAACAATAATGTTAAATATATAAAGTAATACATAAATATCATAGTAAAATTAAATATAAAAGTCAAAACAAAATTGAAACAATAAATTCTAAACAAAATGAGAATGTCAAAATTAGTTGCACTGATTTTCTCCTATCAAAATGGTGTTGAAATCAACACATTCCCACAAACCTTTCAATTTAGCTGAAACTTTCCAGCTAAAAGGTGGAGTGGTGGTGGTGATATAACACTTGAATTATACCAGTATAGCTAAAGTGGCTTAATTGTTGTGTATAGACAATCCCTAAGTACAGAACACAAATAAACCCACTTCCTAAATCTCTATATACATGTTAAGCTCTGCTGTCAATCATTATGCTCTACTGGTCTTCCTTAAAAGCAAATATATTGTTCGAGATGGGTTAAGCAGTAGTGTATTTGTATGTTACCAAGAGACCCAGCCAGCAGCATGCATTAGAACAGCTTCACTTCCTTTAACTTAGACTGAATTCCAAGGTATTTAATATTTTTCTACAGTAGCTCCAAATGTCTTCCCTGGTGGGCTTGTCGCAGCACCAAAATAAATGCACATTGGTCAACTGCACACTGAACTCAATTAGCCACCTGTCAGAACACATACAGTATTTCAATTATCAAAATCCTGGTCTATCTGACTAAAAGTATTCCTCAAGAGAAAGCAAACTGATTTAGTGTTTACAGAAATACATTTCCTTCTGTCTCCATCCAGTAAATTTATGATCTTAGAAAGAAATTAGTTTAAATCACTATGTATAACATAATATGTGTGGGGGGGGGGGGAACTGGGATCGAATCACAATAACTATTCAGTACAATTCAAGGAAGGAAGACCTCTCCAATGGAAAATTTACAGGAGCAGTAAGGGACTTTGGCAGCAGTGGTGGCTCTAGATCCCATAGTGCTTCCTCTACTGATAGCTAGAGGGGAAGCAACTGCCTGGCTGTCACAGGCAACAGTTCTTCTGAGTTTTTGTTCCACTGGCTTTGATATGGAGAAGAAAGGGGCAGGGGAAAATGGTGAAAGCTCATAGAGATGCCAGTACAACATATGGGCACATAAGATCTCAATAATCATCCTGGAAATATTATGTATGGTTTCCTTTCTAGGACTGACCTTACACTAAATCTGAGGCTGCATCTCTCTTCCTACAATACTTGGGTGTTTCCTATACAAAAAGGAACTCTTTTTATGTTCAAAGTATTTATGGTGCATCAGAAATAGAAAATTCTTCCAGATAATAAGAAAACAGAGAAAATGGACACCTAGGTCGTGTCACATGGAATGGTCATAAATATATCACCATCGAATCCCATTTCCCATAGTATCAATAAAAAACCAGTCATGAAAAGTATTGTGCAATTGGTTTTTCATTTTTAACATTGTAAATGTTCATTAGCTGATGCTTTCTAGCCAGTACAGAACAAGTGGTGACATGCGGGAAACTCAATCTAATCCATCTCCCCTTCAACCTACAGTGACTCAGGCTCCTGGATTACTAATCTTTTCTCCAGACCTACTACTTCTGGGAGAATACTGCACACCTACAGAATTCACGTCCCCTGCAAAAAATTTTTTTTCCTCCACAGAAAATACATTCTGCCGGAGAGGTGCTGCAATTACACCTTCACTCACTAGGGGCTGCTGTGGTGCCCGAACAGAGGGCAGCCAGCCAGCCCGGAGAAGGATGGGGAGAGGCTGCGTTCCTAACAGTGCCCTGCCCAAGGGGCCAGGAAAGGAGGCACGGGAAAGGAGGTGGGGGGAGACAAACAGAGTGCGGCACACAGGGTTGCTGGGGGGGGGGTCACAGACTGGGATTCAGAAGGGCCAGTGAGTGGACAGACTGGAGTGGGGGTTGAATGGGAGTGTGGGTGCAAGGCCACATGGGGATGGAGAGTGGGGGTGGCCGAGGGTTCAGGGACACATGGGATTGGGGGAATGGCTGAGTGGGGCTGCAGGTACACATGGGGAGAGCGGTAAATGTGCCTGACTGAATGGGAGAGCCAGGGTCTGCATGGGGGAGGCTCCCCAACTCTCTAACAATCTCTTCCCCCCCTCCCCCCCCAAAAAAACGGTTCCATATTTCCCACACCCAACAATCTTCCAGGTTCACGCCCAGGCTCCTGCTCAGCAGTTACTTCCCTCTCCCTCAGCTCCTCCATTACCCTGATTCCCCCAATCCTTTGCACTGCTTCTGAGGGGTGCAGGAAATACATTTATGTATTTTAGTTTAAATGAATTATTACTCAAAGTTCTCTATTAATATACTTAGAAAGGAATCTATTTGTCAAAAAACATTTCCTGAATCTTTTTTGTTGTCTATATTATTACAGACATACTTGCTGCCTGGTATTTTGAAATAAATTACCAAAATAATTGAAACTGGCATAATTATATTGTGTTATTTTGACAAATAAAATATGTACAATTTTGCAGAATTTTAAAATATTGTGTGCAGAATTTTTAATTTTTGGTGCAAAATTCCCCTAGGAGAAACATACATATTTGACAGCACATTGGCTTCCTGAAACTACGCACTTTGGCTTCCTGGTAAATTGTATTTTCTAGGAGTAAATATATGTATTTGCTCTGATTTAAATAATAAATAACAATAACAATCATTAATGATCATATGAAAGATGCCTATGCAAGGATCTAGATGCCCTCACACAGAACCAGTACTACAACAAAACACCAACAGAATTAAAATAATCATTAAAACAGGAACTCAGCAAACCAAACACTCCCCAAAGAGCTCCTTTTTATCGTTTCATGGTTGGGGGAAGAACACCCTCAGCCTGCTCCAAAACCCCATCAAACAGATGTCTTTTGCAGCATGCCCAAAGGTCACCAAATTCAGACCAACATACTTACCACTGCCCAATTACTAAGGCCTGTAGCAGAGTCTTCATCGCTTCCAGCTTTCTGTGGAACTTGAAAAGATGTTTCCTTGCCATGTTTATCACATGATTCTATTAACACATCAGCATCCTGTAAAAAGAAAGGCAGCTGTGGAAATATTTCTATTGTCATTGCCTTGTTGTGCTTTAGAAGCCTCAAAAGGCAGTAGTCACTCAACCCATACATCATTCTGGGCCAATAACCAATGCAGGAAAGTTCCCTCACATCTGACATAAAGATACAGAAAGACAAATAGCTACAGCTCTCATAACAGATGCTAGTTGATCAGATTGCTTAGGTGCTGCCCACTTTTCCATCAGAAACTGCACATCCTCCACAAGTTACTCCACACAGAGGGTAGAGGAAACACCCATTAAAAGTCTCATTTTATCTCTTACCAAGGGAGTGGGGGGAGAGGCGTGAACTCTCTGTTAACCTGAGTTTGCATTTACATTCTTGTGTTTTCGGCAGATAGCATCACCTACAAAAACTGTTTTCCTGCTGAGCGGGCAACTGTTAAAGGATGCTCACAGACGATGAAATTCAACCCTGTGGGAGGAGCCATGCAAGACCTATGCACCCTTAAATCCCACTCAAGTGCTGATTTGAGGACTAAAGCAATGCATAGGCCTTGTACAGGCTCTCTACACAGGGAAGAATTCCCCCATGCAGAGATAAACATGAAGAATGTTACCAGGGCAATGCCACCTGATAGGGTGCCTGAGGACCAGGAAGCTCTGCTCTCTTCTTTGTCTCTCTCATTTCCCTTCCCTGGACGTGAAAAACTTTCAGCTGTCGGTGCTATTGCATTTTCCTTTGAAAACAGCAACAGCCCACCATTAGCTTGAGGACATGCAGTTCAAAGGCTTCTTCAGAAAATGTTATTCACTAAAACCATTAGCCACCCTATGGTACATTTCTGCCATGCACGTTCTCTTTCTTTACTCAGTAATCCTAACTCAACAGCCGCCCTTCTATACCACTTCCACTCCCCTGTCTCCCGGTGATAGATGCCAACAGCCCTTTCTACCGATCTCAAACATTCTAAATTGCTCGTGTTGTTTAAATACTTTTTCTATCTCAATGAAGTAATATTTCTTTGTCTTTTTTACTTTGATACGAATGAAATTGATCAGCAAAGGCGCTCGATCGGCAGTCCTGGAAACAGAAATTCTCTGCCCACACCAACGTGCACGGCATAGGCAGTAGCAGTTCACATTTCCCCCACTCTGCCATGCCAACGTGCCTTAGTGTTGACCTGAAAGGAACAACTCCAGATGTGAAAGGCTACCGGAGCTTATGTCCTTCCAATTCTTGGTCTCTCTGCTGTGACAGCCAACAAAGATGCCACTTTGTACAAACTGGTATGATTTTTGAGATGCTGATACACCTAAAAAATGACTGAGATCACAGTTCATTTACCATTAGCTACTGAAGACCATCAGATGGTGGTAACCCTTGACACTGCTAAGAGCTGGGCAGGATATGAACTGTTGTCCTAGAGAAAAGGAGTACTTGTGGCACCTTAGAGACTAACCAATTTATTTGAGCATGAGCTTTCGTGAGCCACAGCTCACTTCATCAGATGTATTTAGGCACTAATCCCACAAGCACTTCTGCATGTGTTTTACCTATATATAAATAGCAGAGTTGGTTGGGAATCTTCCACTGAAATTATTTTCTGATGCAAAATTCACTTTCCACAAAATCCAAGTTTTCTGCAGGAAAATTTCAATTTTACATGGAAATTTTTTCCCAGCTCCATGGCTCCCCTGCTCCTCAGCAGCCCAGCAAAGAAACCGACCTGGAGCTAGAGCTCCCAACTCGTTGGCAGACCAGAAATCCTGGGAAAGTTAGCTCCCAAGCTCTCCCAGCTGCTTGGCTCCCAAGCTCCCCACCTGGCATGCTACCACAGCCCTGGGCATCTGGGGGAGTCTTTCAAAGGGCAATTTTGGAATTGCCATTCTCTGGTAGATTTTGGTTGTTTTTGTTCCATTTCAGAATTAATTTTTTTTTTAATTATGGCATTTCCCACGGAACAGGAATTCCAATCTCCGGCCAGCTCCAATGAATAGTCCCATTGACTTCATAGAGACTACCCACATGATTAGAGTCAATGGGAATATTCATGTGCTCAAAGTTGAGCGTGTGCATAAGTGTTTGCAGGAGCGAGGCCTTACGCTTTAAGATCTTCCAACAGGGGCCATGTTTCCTTGTTTGTCTGAAGTGTCACATATGTCTATGATGCCAATAAAAAATAAAACAACGACGGGGTAAGAGGCTGTATTTAGCTTATTGCAAAACCCTGGAGTTTATTTTCTTGCATTGAATGCATAATAATAATACGGCAATGAACTCTTTCTTGCCTCTTCCCAGAGCATTCTATCCAAGGGAAGCATAGGGGCATCATAGTGTCTCTAGGAAAGGGCCCATTGTACCCTATGATTGTCAAAAGGTAACCGATAGTGCTGTTCATACATTTAAACAGGGTTTATTGCTTGACTACTTATGATGGCCTTTGAGCAAGGACACTTAGAGTAACTAGTCTATCCACATGTGATTGCTGAAGTCATTATCTTTCTCTCAGGCCACGCCAATTATTTCTGTCCCATGTATCCCACTGCCTGAATCACTTCACTGGTATCCTGTACATTACAACATCAAACCCAGGCTCTTTGTCCCCACTTTCAAGGCCCGACATTAGTGATACTCAGACTGAGACTTGCGAATGGATCTTTGATGCATCTCCTGCAGCTTTTTGCAGCCCATGATATTAAAACATGGTCTGATTTAATTATTAATCAATCTAAGACATTGACCAATCAGAATGCTTTTACGATGTTATTAACCAACTGTAGTTGATAAAATAATAATACTTGGTCAGTCATTTTTCTGTGAGAATTATATTTTATATTTTTATAAATATTTCTTGTCATACTGTTTGACTGAGTCCTTAGCACTACAGTAAATGAAACAATGAATTCACATACTACCAGGGCTCTTTTGGGTAATGTTGATCGCTAATTTGGCTCCTAAACCACTGAGGTATGAGTATCATTGCCCTACCTAACCCAATCCCTATCTGCAACTCTGCTCTCATTTCCTCCTACTCACCCTCTCATTCCATACACAGCTTTAAACCTCTCTTTACTGCCTTCTCCTCCACACCTACTTTTGTGTTGCCCTCTATGTTTGAAAGAGAGTTTCCCAGTTCATGCCCATTAAGTGCCCTCTCTCTCCTAAAAATCCCCCCTCACTGCCCATTTCTCCCAGGAAGCCTTTCCACTTTATTTTCACCACCAATAATCTTGCCACACCCTTCTTTATTTAATCCCATGCCTTGTATCTTGTCTATGTTTATTTTATTTCTCTTAGATTCTAAGCTCCTTAGGGAAGGGGATGCCCTACGCTGTGTTTTGTAAAAGGCCACAGGCACTGATGCTGCTACTTTAGGACCACCCGCACTCCCACTGAGTAGCCTTATTCTGTAAGCGGTCCAATCAATGTCATATTCACAGAATGAAGTACCACACAAAGTAAGGATGATAGGATCTGACTCTAATATATGTACTAATATTTTATTTCTGTCTCTCAGATTTTAAATTAATTTTAAAATATCCCCTACTAGGGATGCTGCAATTTATTCTACAAATGTTTACATTTACACATACATTTTTCATGATTTATTCTATAATAAATCTTATTTCCACCAAAGTCTCCATTATACTTACTTCACTGTGGAACGAACTGTCTTCTGTTTCTTCAACTAAAGATGGCAGGAGAGACATTGATCCTTTCTTTTTCAGCTACAATGTACATACAGAGATAGAGTCCAGTTACTCTTAGCTCCAAAAATTGCCTCTTTTTTCTGCCCTTTTGCTAAACATAGTTATCATTTTGCACCTAATTTTGAGAAATGCTGAGCACCTGCATCTCCATTTAAAGTAATCAAAAGCTGCAGGTTCTAAGCAACCTCAAAAATCAGATCCTTTAACTTATTTTTCAGCTTTTAAAGTCATGTCTAAAATTGAGGTAGCTATCATTCTGTTCCATTCAAACAATTTACTGAAAATCTTTAAACAATTCCTTACAGTGTAAATTACAGATCCAGCATTGGCGTGGATTGCACCCTCAGCAAGTTTGCAGATGACACTCAACTGGGAGGAGAGGTAGATACGCTGGAGGGTAGGGATAGGATACAGAGGGACCTAGACAAATTAGAGGATTGGGCCAAAAGAAATCTGATGAGGTTCAACTAGGACAAGTGCAGAGTCCTGCACTTAGGACAGAAGAATCCCATGCACCACTACAGACTAGGGACCGAATGGCTCGGCAGCAGTTCTGCAGAAAAGGACCTCGGGGTTACAGTGGACGAGAAGCTGGATATGAGTCAACAGTGTGCCCTTGTTGCCAAGAAGGCCAATGGCATTTTGGGATGTATAAGTAGGGGCATTGTCAGCAGATCGAGGGACATGATTGTTTCCCTATATTCGACATTGGTGAGGCCTCATCTGGAGTACTGTGTCCAGTTTTGGGCCCCACACTACAAGAACGATGTGGAAAAATTGGAAAGCGTCCAGCAGAGGGCAACAAAAATGATTAGGGGACTGGAACACATGACTTATAAGGAGAGGCTTAGGGAACTGGGATTGTTTAGTCTGCAGAAGAGAAGAATGAGGGGGGATTTGATAGCTGCTTTCAACTACCTGAAAGGGGGTTCCAAAGAGGATGGATCTAGACTGTTCTCAGTGGTAGCAGATGACAGAACAAGGAGTAATGGTCTCAAGTTGCAGTGGGGGAGGTTTAGGTTGGATATTAGGAAAAACTTTTTCACTAGTTGGGTGGTAAAGCACTGGAATGCGTTACCTAGAGAGGTGGTGGAATCTCCTTCCTTTGAGGTTTTTACGGTCAGGCTTTGAGCAGGGGGTTGGACAAGATGACATCCTGAGGTCCCTTCCAACCCTGATATTCTATGATTCTATGATTTTGCATTTTTTAATTTCAAGCAATCTCACACTGGTTTTCCACATGTTGAAAAATAACCCAAAAGGGCCCCCATATTGTGCATCTAACCATTTTTTGTTAGGGCCATTTAAAGGGATAGCATGGTGTTCTACCTACCTGCCGTTCAGAGGCATCTTTCCCAACCAAGCCAGTTTCCTCGGGTGACAGAGGCACAGAAAGTTCATCCTCTGATTCAGATTGTTCTTGCTGTAAGTGCTGGTGAAGTTCCAGCATTGAACTCTTCATACCCCTAAGGATGTCTTCTTTTTTCTGGCACAGTTTTATGATCTGTTCTTTTATGTCTTCCATTTCCCCCTGAGGAGCAACAAGGCTTGTAACTTACACTTTCGTTGTTAAAAAAGTGATGATATAATAAACAATAACGGCATCTTACTGTGAGAGGGGATCCCAGCTCTTTGGCCTTCTTTTTTGCACTGGGGCAATTGCCCCATTGTCACAGCAGGAGTTGTTTAGGTAAGCACTAACTCAGAGGCAGCAGGCTCAGAACAAAGCACATAGCCTACCAGCTGCATACAGAGCCAGCTGTGGCCTTACAGGGAATGTGAAGGCTTGGTAATTAACACTGATCTGAATTCTCACTACTGGGGCCATGGGAGTGGAAGTCCTGGAGATACTCCTCCCCAGGACAGAGGGAATGAAACTGGGTTGCATTACTCAGCTAGTCAGGTCAGTTGATGGTGCTTCCCACAAACTTCTCTGCAAAATAACTATAAAAGAGGCTTTTCTATCAGAAATGAGAGGAAGGGGAGACAGAAGAATTTATGAGGGAGAAATCAACTAGTGGGTAGCTCAGGGCTGCATCATCTTTATTAAAGACACCGAAAAACAAGGAAAAACAGACCCTAGTGTGACGCTGGCAGACTAGGTGCCAGCTCTTGCCACGTCTGTAGGCATCAGCTGAGCACCAACAAACTCACAGCTGGAAACCAAACCAGCTCATCTGTATGTTAGTTTTGTTCAAAATAGGTATTAGTCTTATAAGAATGTATTAATGTTTAGACTCTATGAAGTGCTTGTAAATTGCTGCACTCATTAATCTCACTTGTAATGTTTGTAGTCCATGTTATAAGGAAATATGTACGTTTTGCTTTATAACTTTGAAAATGTTTTCTCTGTACTTGTGAACCCACACATGGGAATTGTCCCCTGTGCCCATTCAGGAGGCCTATCAAGATTCAACAAGCCATTAAGGAGCATCACAACACAAAAGGATTAGTGAATGGCCCTATCAGACTTAGAAATGCTACGTGCAAGGGAGCTTGTCTCATGGACTGGAAGGCTAAATGTAAAAGATAAAACAGATTCACGAGAAAATTGTTCATCTCTTTGTTGTCTGAACTCTCACGGGGCCAGGCATACTAAACTAAGGCAGAGATCCCCAGGGGTTAACCCTGGGTCCACCCTGAAAGACATTTTGAAGTGACAGATTATTACATCTCTGTCATATTTAGGAACTTCAGATGGTACCTCATTTGTGTGTGTATGTTTGTTTGCTTTAACCTGTAAATAACTCTCTCTTGTTTGTTTTTCCTAGTTAATAAACCTTTAGTTAATTACAGGACTGGCTACAAGCATAGTATTTGGTATGAGATCTGAGATACAAATTGAGCTGAGGTATTTGACTGGTCCCTTGGGACTAGAAGTAACCTGAATATTTTTTTATCTTTGGTATAGGTGACCAATTATCACTAAGTCCAGCTTGCCTGGGTGGCAAGATAGACTGGAGAGCCCAGGGGGACTGTCTGTGACTCCATGGTAAGACGACTACAGTGCTCTAGGAGCTCACATTTGTTACTGGGTTGGTAAAATCTAACTGTAAAATGTACCACTAGTTTGGGGTGTCCGTCCTGCTTTTGACAGCCTGAGTTGAGGTTGGCGCTCTTGGTCATGAGTCACTACAGACAGCGTGACACCTAGGAAGAGATTTTTATCTTCCATGTCATCAACTGTCTGTTTAGTAGAGCTGCCCTGTGTCTCCCACATGTGGTGTTAACAGTGGGACTGAGTGTCCCACTGACTCTTGCTTCACACTGGACATTCCCATAATTCTCCAGTTTCCACTCAATACTCTCTCTATCTGCTGCCCCATCCCTATCCCTAGGGTCTCTAAGCCAGCCAACGAAGGGCAAGAGACAGGAGCAGGGATGTCCTTGGTGCTCTCTCCTCTTCACTGTTGACAATGTGTGCGGCAGCACTGCACGCTACAAGGCGCTCGTGTTCGCAGAGCTCAGCAGGGGAAAAGCGGCTGCACACCCAGTTCAATGCCTGTAGATAGTAGTGCAACCATGACAGCTGGCCTTGATGTGATGGCCTGAAATAACAGCATCAGCCTCATTTCCAGAGGCTGCTCACCCAGAGCATCAATAAAGCAAAGCAAATAACTAACCCAGGTTAGATGACACATGTAAAACTACATAGGCCCTGTCTCCACTACAGCTTCTGCTGTTCAAAGCACCAGCGGAACTGTATTGATGCTGAACGACATTGACAGATTTTCTGAACATAGGCAAGGCCTTTGCATAGAAGGCCTCAGTAGGCATCTGATATGATTTCAGCCCACCCTCACGTAGGGGACATTAATGAGGGGCGGGAAGAATTTTCTTTGGCTCTGTCTGAGAGGGATAGAGTGCTGCTGAGATAAATACACCTTTCCTGACACATTGAAACACATACAGCAAACCCCTCCAGTAACTGCCTCCCTATCAGGGACAGGAGAAAGTCATCAGCATGAAATACTGCCTGTATTTGGCAATGTGCTGCACTAAGTTGTAGTTAAAAAGAAAGACTTTGCTATCTTTTTCCATTGCGAAGGTGGACTTTGCAGCGTAAGCCCGCATGCAACTGCTCTGCTAATATATATAGCCGGGAAACTGTCTTGAGACAAGCAAGAGTAACATCAAAGTGGTGTGCTCACTCCTCCTCCAATCACTCTAGTGAGATGTAAACTCACCACTTCCCCACTCCAAAGCCTTCAGTGAGGTGTGAAAGTCAAAGGCTACTTCACTCAGTGAAATACTAACATCACTAAGCAGGTGATTTTTTTCTTTTAAAAAAGGACAAGAAAATTAAATGCAAATATCTATATTAAGAGGCAACATTTAGGTTCCTAATTTAACCCACACAAGAGTCAGGAAATGATTCACAATCAGGATTAACATTGAACGTATGGTGAATTAATCTATTGAACAAAACTCTAGCTATACATTTAAAAGTTTAACTAGCAATCGTATGTATTATACATGTATAGGGCCCTACCAAATTCACAGCCATGAAATCTGTTCTCCCACCGATTTCACAGGGGAGACCAGCGTTTCTCAAATTGGAGGGCCTGACCCAAAAGGAAGTTGCAGGGGGGGTCGCAAGGTTATTTTAGGGGGGTCATGGAATTGCCACCCTTATTTCTGTGATGACTTCAGAGCTGGGCAGCCGGAGAGTAGTAGCTGTTGGTTGGGCGCCCAGCTCTGAAGGCAGCACCCTGCCAGCAGCAGCGCAGAAGTAAGTATGGCAAGGTATGGTATTGCCACCCTGACTTTTGTGCTGCTCCCTTCAGAGGTGGGCTTCCAGCCAGCAACCACCGCTCTCCAGCTGCTCAGCTCTGAAGGCAGAAGTAAGGGTAGCAGTACCACAAGCCCCTACAATAACCTTGCAACCCCCCCACAACTCCTTTTTGGGTCAGGATCCCTACAATTACAACACTGTGAAATTTCAGATTTAAATAGCTGAAATCATGAAATTTATGATTTTTAAAATCCTATGACAGTGAAATTGACCAAAATGGACCGTGAATTTGGTAGGGCCCTATACATGTACAATGTAGGCGTCTTAATGTTATCATGACTATATGCAGCACGCCAAACACTTCAGAGGCACTTTATAAATAATTATTATACTTGTATGACTTGGCCATTTCCTGACTTTTGCAGGTTTGTATTTGACACCTTAATGTTGCCTTTATGCCTTTTTTTAAAAAAATGTTTGCCCACTATATAATCACTTGATCCATTACAAAAAGCCACCACCTCTGGGGTGTTGAACAGCTAATGAAGCCACAGAACAACAGTTTAGGATAGGAAGGGGAAACTAGAAACTAACTGCATGAGCAGGGAGAATTTACTTAAATAAAATATTATTAACCAAGATGGCATACAGCCATGTGTGATGGGGTGTACAAACCCCACGCAGGCCAGGTATTGGTTACTGAACTGCTTTGCACCCAATCAGGCCTGTCCTGCCACAATTGCAAGGAGATTCAGGCTTGAAGGAGAGGAAGAAGCCCGGCTCAGCTGGTGGAAGACCTGGAAGGAACAGATTTTCGGTCCTCAGCTCCTGAAGAAAGCTCTGCTGAGAGCAGGTACTGTTTGAATCACTGCTACCTATTGGAGCCCCCTCAGGGGAAGGTGGGCCTGATGCAGAACAGTTACTTTGGGACTATTACCAGTGACTTGCCTGTCAGTGCTGAACAGGACTACAGCCTCCCAGAGGGTTCCAGAAGGAAAGGAGGCCAGTTCAGGGCTTGTGTTAGTTAATTTGTGCTTCTTTTCCCTTTGGATCTTTGACAGCCCAGGAAGAAGTAGACTCCCGCAGGACTGAGTTAGAGGGCTGAGTCTCCCACAGCTGGTGCCATGCTGACGCTGGACCACAGGTTAGGTGAGTTCAGGGCCCAGTCATATCCCAAAGGGGCACTGTGGGAGACCAATCCTGTGATATCATGACACTGGGGCTAATACCCCAATTCTTGCAGAAAGTGCCACTGCATCATCAATACGCACAAGTGATCTGGACTTTGCTTATATGTCTCATCTGCAAAACTGCCTACAGCAGCACACGCTGCTTCCTAATACCATGGCGGGGTATTGGAGCACCATGGACTCAAGACAAGTGCTGCCTACCGACTCACCAACGCCACTTCCTCCATCCCTCGGCATGTCCTTCGGCGGTTTGACATCCACATACTGGCTGTGTTTGATAATGCCTAGCTCATGAAATCTGATAAATATATCTTAAAATACATACCTAACTGACAAACTAAAGGTACAACAGTGTAATGCTAGTTGGTACATGTCATCTTATGCATGAACAGTCATGTATACTGCGTTGAAATCTATCTGCCTACTTATTTTAGCCTTCACACATCGGGAAATGATTGGGAGGAAAAGAAATAAGTGTTGCTGTTTACCCCCACATTAGCATACAGTAGCAGAACTAGACGCGAGTCCAGGTCACAGAGGAATACACTACAGGTCAGAGAAAAAATGAAAACAATGAAACTCACCTCTGGACAGGAAGCAGTCTGAGGAAACAAAGGTTTTTCATATGACAGTTCACCCAGCTGGTTCTTTAAGAACTGCTTCAACTTTTCAATTTCTTGTTCACATTCATCGGTCTCTTTTACGATTGACTGTAAAAGGATAATTTTCATTAGCCATTTTCAATTGATTAGCAGAATACAGAAACAAACTAGTCAGTATTGCAATGAATTCAAACCACTGGAAAGTCAAATAACCTTGTTCCTATATCTGTATATCTAGTGGGTTTAAATTAAGAATTTGTGAGCTGATTTTATTCAGTGTTCCCGAATTCTGTTGTATTCAAGTTCTTTATTAATTTGCTCATACACAAAAATAAAATAAAATAAAAATACTGCATCATAGCTGTGACTGGGAGCAGAGTAAGTAGCTTTGGCTATAACTATTTATTACAAAATAAATGTATGCATTTAGCTCCCTTTGGCTGTAAAACGTGAAGTCAGACATATTTAATCATATTCACCAGTAGAGTTGTTTAAAAAGAAGAATCTGAAGAGAAACTGGATGATTTTGCCTTTTTGTTGGTTTCATGATACCTTATGAGAAAACCTTCCTACTTTTTATTGGCACAGTTTAGTTCATTGTTGCAGGCTAGGCCTGCAACTAGCAAAAATAAATCATGCAGGGTAGGCCTGCAACAAAGGTCAGAGGTGAAGGTCAAAGGGTAAATTCTATCTACAATATGTGAGAACCAAGGTGGGTGAGTGCTACGTAAGTTTGAAAGCTTGTCTCTCTCACCAACAAAAGTTGTTCCAATAAAAGATATTAACTCACCCACCTGTCTCTCTAATATCTTGGGATCAACTTAGCAACAACAACAACACTATCTGCAATATTTGACAGTTTGAATATTACTGATGTAATCAGCAATATTATGAGTCATGTTGGGAGAAGGAGCTTGCATGGACTTGTAGGAAAACCTGCAGCACAGCAGAAATACGCGGCAAAATGCAGCATTTTTTCTGGTTGATAATGACAGCAGAATCTCATTAACCTACACAGTTCATTTTTTACACACAAACGGCAGTCTCACCTCAGTACTTAGCAAAGATTTGACAACAAAGAGCTGTAGTGATTTCTCATACAGTATTACTAACAGAACATTACTCTTACTAAATATACTATTTTGCTAGTGTAGAAACCACAAACAATATTTGCTATTGCACAGACCACAACTGTCAGAACAGAGTATACATTCTGCAATATACATTTATTTATTTATATCTATGAATTTGTTTTAATTCATTTTTTGTGTTTTCTCTTCGTTCATTCATTTGTTCATCTGCAAAGTTCACCCACTTACTACTGCAAATTAGTTTGGTTCTATTCTATTTCTCTCTCTTATGTATGGACTTTAAAGGAAAGGGGTAAATAATTTTGGCTTTTGGGGGTGGGAGGCAAGGGTTGTTTTTAAATTAGAATAGAAGACGGGAGGGTGTGGCTTTGATGACTAAGTCTGACACAACAAGAAAATGAAAAGAGAAAGGTATAGGAAAAAATGAATGAAAATAATAGTTCTACCAAAATGCTCATTTTCACTGGGAAACCTAGAATATGCTTTAAAGCTGAGGCGCTAGAAGACTTAGGGCTTGTCTACACAACATGTTATGTTGGTATAATTTATGCTGCTCAGGGGTGTGAATAAGTCAACCCCCTGAGCAACGTACATTACGCTGACCTAAGTGCCGGTGTGGACAGCGCTATGTCAGTGGGAGAGCTTCTCCCGCCCACATAGCTACTGCCTCTCACGGAGGTGGTTTTATTATGCTGACAGGACAGCTCTCCCCCATAGGCATAGAGCATCTTCAGCAGATGTGCTTCTGCGACACAGCTGCATCTGTGCAACTGCGCCGCTTTAGTGCTTCTAGTGTAGACTAGCCCTTATTTACTGGCTGTTAGCACGTCAGTTTAAAAACAATAAGGTGCACCTTAACATGGCTGCTGGGGAAGCATCTTTTCAGATTTCTTAGACCAAAATTTGAATATGAATGCTCTGGATACTGAGTCCAGCCTCTCTCTGCCACACTTGCCCAAACACTATGCAAGTCCCAAGCTTGGCAGGCCTATGTAGTTCTCAGAGAATAGTGTTGACTCCCCCAACAGTTTTGTGGAGGCCTTGTGCCATTCTTAATCTTCTAACCGATGTCCAAAACTCTCTCTTTCCCTGACCCTCCACTCTTCCCTAACAGGTTGGGCCTACTTTAAAAGAGCTGGCTGAGGAGCTCGCTGGACAGTTATTGCTTTTCAGGAAGTCTTGGAACACTGGAGAAGCTCTGGAAGACTCGAAGAAAGCTGCTGTTGTGACAATATTTTAAAAGGACAAGTGGGTGACCTGGGTAATTTTACGCCTGTCAGTATAACATCAATCTCAGGCAAGATAATGGAGTGGCTGACATGGGACTCAATTAATGAAGAATTAAAGGAAGGTAATATAATTAGTATCAATCAACATGAGTTTATGGAAAATAGATCCTGTCAAACTAACTTGATATCCATTTTTGATGAGATTACAAGTTTGGTTGATAAACCACTTCTGTAAAGTGTTTGACCTGGTATCACATGACATTTTGACAAAAATACTAGTATCATATAAAATGAACACAGCATGGATTAAATGGAGTAAAAGTTGGCTAACTGATAGGTCTCAAATTGTAACTGTAAACAGGGAACCATCATCAAACTGGTGGGTTTCTAGTGGGGTCCTTCAGGGACTTGTTCTTGGCCCTGCACTATTTAATGTTTTTAATCGCCTCAAAGAAAACATAAAATCATCACTGATAAAGTTTGCAGATGACACAAAAATTGGAGGAATGGTAAATAACAAAGAGGACAGGTCACTGATACAGAGCGATCGGGACTGCTTGGTAAGCTGGGCACAGGCAAACTATATGCATTTTAATATGGCTAAATGTAAATGCATATAGCTAGGAACCAAAAATGTAGGCCATACTTACAGGATGGGGGAGTGACTCTGAACAAGATTTGGGGGTGGTAGTGGATAATCGGTTTAACATGAGATTTCAGAGCAACGCTGTGGCCAAAAGAGCTAATGCAATCCTGGGATGCATAAAAACAAGAGAATCTCAAATGGGAGTAGAGAGGTTATTTTACCTCTGTACTTGGCACTGGTGTGACCACGGCTGGAATATCGTGTCTCGTTCTGGTGCCCACAATTCAAGAAGGATGTTAAAAAATTGGAGAGAGTTCAGAGAAGAGCCATGAGAATGATTAAAGGATTAGAAAACATGTCAAGGAGCTCAATCTATTTAGCTTAACAAAGAGAGGGCTACCAGGTGAGTTGATTACAGCCTATAAGTACTTAGTTGGGGAACAAATATTTAATAAGTGACTCTTCAGTCTAGCAGACAAAGTTATAATATGATCTAATGACTGGAAGTTGAAGCTAGACAAATTCAGACTAGAAATAAGGCATACATTTTTAATAGCGAACGTAATTGGCCATAGGAACAACTTACCAAGGGTCGTGGCAGATTCTCCATCACTGACAATTTTGAAAGCAAGACTGGATGTTGTCAAGGTTCCTTCCCCACTCTGAACTCTAGGGTACAGATGTGGGGACCTGCATGAAAAACCCCCTAAGCTTATTTTTACCAGCTTAGGTTAAAACTTCCCTAAGGTACAAACTATTTTACCTTTTGTCCCTGGACTTTATTGCTGCCACCACCAAGCGTCTAACAAATATAACCAGGAAAGAGCCCACTTGGAAACGTTTTTCCCCCCAAAATCCCCCCAAGCCCTACATCCCCTTTTCTGGGGAAGGCTTGATAAAAATCCTCACCAATTTGCATAGGTGAACACAGACCCGAGCCCTTGGATCTTAAGAACAATGAAAAAGCAATCAGGTTCTTAAAAGACGAATTTTAATTGAAGAAAAAGTAAAAGAATCACCTCTGTAAAATCAGGATGGTAAATACCTTAGAGGGTAATCAGATTCAAAACATAGAGAATCCCTCTAGGCAAAACCTTAAGTTACAAAAAGACACAAAAACAGGAATATACATTCCATGCAGCACAACTTATTTTATCAGCCATTTAAACAAAACAGAATCTAATGCATATCTAACTAGATTGCCTATTAACCCTTTACAGTAGTTCTGACCTGCATTCCTGCTCTGGTCCCAGCAAAAACAACACACACACACAGAGAAAGAACCCTTTGTCCCCGCCCCCCCAGCTTTGAAAGTATCTTGTCTCCTCATTGATCATTTTGATCAAATGCCAGCGAGGTTATCTTTAGTTTCTTAACCCTTTACAGGTGAAAGGGGTTTTCCTCTGGCCAGGAGGGATTTAAAGGTGGTTAGCCTTCCCTTTATATTTATGACAGATGTTTTTCTAAAAGATGTGCTGTAGGAATTATTTTGGGGAACTTCTATGGCCTATACAGGAGGTCAGACTAGATGATGATAAAGGTCCGTTCTGGCCTTGAAATCTATGAAACTACTTTATATCTCATCAATTCTTGTCCCATCCAGTATGTATTAGCCCCGGTGGCTACTCAGAATAGATTTTATTTTAAGAGCAAAGTAACTTGCAAAGCAATTGAAAATGACTCTGGTAAATACAAATTAAGACTTGCTTGTGACTAGACAGTTCTAAAGAATGCAAGACCCACACTGAAAATTTTTAAAAAAAATTATTTTGGGCCTAGTCTTGCAAATCCCCAGTCACAAAAATCTTCTGGAAGTCCAGTACAATGCAGACATCATTAAGTGGACATATCTCCTACTAAAAAGCAGAGGTTTTCACTGAGTTGTTATTTTATGTTTTATTTATTATTATTATCCTCACTATTTATCTATTAACATAGTGCCTAGGAGCCCCAATCATGGACCAGGAACCCACTGTGCTAGGCGTTACACAAAAACAGAACAAAAAGATGGTCCCTGCCCTGCAGAGCTTACAAAAGAAGATTTTTGCTTTGTGTCTTATTCTGTTACCCTTACACAAGTTCCAGGCCTTGCGTAGGTTTTTTGACTATGTCAACCAACAGTTTTTATGGACAGGAAAGTGGGTGGGGGAAGGCTGGCAGGAAAACATATTGGGAAGTATTTGGATCCAAACATGATGCACT